GCGACCTACATGCGGGAACCATTTAACATGAGACATATATACGGGGACCATTAAATAATATGAGCGACCTACATACGGGAACCATTTAACGTGAGACATATATACGGGAACCATAAAATAATATGAGCGACCTACATACGGGAACCATTTAAAGTGATACATATATACGGGAACCATTAAATAATATGAGCGACCTACATACGGGAAACAATTAATAATATGTGAGACATACAAGTGGGAAACATTTAACAATGTCAAACATATATACGGAAACCATTGAATAATATGAGCGACCTACACACAAAAAAACATTAAATAATATGTGCAACCTTAATAAGAAAAACATTTAACAATATGCGAGACCTACATTTGACAATGTGAGACATACAAACGGGAAACATGATATGATATATCAAACATAAGATAGAAATTTAACAATTTGTATGACCTACATACGGAAACCATTATAAATTATTTGTACGACATACAAACGGGAAACATTTAATAATATATACTGACATTTAACAATTTGTGCGACCTAATCATTGAAACAATTCAATAATATATGCAACCTACACATTTAATAATACATTTATAAAATGACATTATGTAGCCAAATCTTTAATAACGTGTGTAACCGCCACGTGCCCACCCTTCTAGTAAGGCGTCTAATGCGTTTTTAGGTACATTTTGTCATTCTTGGTGCAGAGCTTGTTCCAGTTGTTACAGGTTGACTACAGGTGGTTCGTACCATTGTCCAAATAAAATTTAAAATTTCATTTGTGGTCATGTTAAAATTTAGACAAAATGCCGGATGTGCTTAACTTATTTCCAGTTTGTATGCTGATTGCGATGAAGAGTTACTTATAACAACTCCGGGCATGCGAATGTCTGTATTTAAACATTAAATTTAACCGACTGAATTTATCTACTTGATGTGTTCTCCTTTTAATTATCATATAGCAAGCTCAAACAGCCGGGCCTTCTCACAAAGAATAAAGGTAACGCATATGACTTCAAATGTTTGGTGGTTTTGAAAAGTTTAGCCGCAAGGACTTTCTTTGGCAGTGGAGAGTGATGGGTGTAGCTGGAGAGGGAAGTGTAAGGGATCATGCGCAGACAAACAAAGTTTCGCGAAAAGAAAAATATGTTTTCTTCACGATCGTTGAATGAAATAAGATCCTAAAATCACTAGAACGTATAGTAATAAAGTGGAATTAAGGGAGTTGCCATTGTTTAAATCTTAAACATTTTTCTTTATTAATAATTAGTCAATGTCCATTTTAAAAGTCAATCCTTTTTTAATATATATCCAATTCAGGTTAATTCGAGAATGAAGAAATGAACATAGTACCACTTTAAACTTAAATCTATTCTTATCGCACATTTTAGTATGCATTGATTCGCTTACTCCTTAGAAATTAATTTCATTCAAAAACTGTTACATAAAATTGCTTCAGACAATGTTACATATACTGTCTTTAAAGGCTTCCTACTGTAATCCTTAATGTATTTTTAGCATTTTAAATAATGCTTAAACTAAAATTAGTTAATGAAAATAAGGGATATTTGTTTTCAGTGACTGATTATATGCTACATTTCGCGAAATGAAGAATTGAGAATTTTTTAAAACAATTTCAAGAGCAGTTTCGAAACTAATAAGTAAATAAACAAAATGAGAATTTCAATTTTTACGAACTCAAAAAATACATACATGTATAAATTCTTCTCAAAATCTGTATATTCGAACTGCTATCCGCAGGACATAAGCTTTTAGTTAAACTCAAATAATAATAATGACTGCAAACATTTAGTACTCTTGAGAAGACACTGCCTCAAACATAATGGTGAACATTCATTGATTTTAATAATTTTTAATTCGTAAACATAGTGTATATCATTAATGTCTAACTTGCTGGGGGTCAAAAATAATCCATGTAAAATATTTTAGAAGAAAGCGCAGTAATATCTTGTGTTTTGTTGTTGTTTTTGTGTTTTTATTTATTTATTTATTTTTGGAAGTATGCGATCGCTGAATATATGCGCTTGATATTTTATATTATATTAGAGATTGTTTTTTAGTTATTCGACAGTTATCCGTAACTTTACTGTACATATAAGCGTCCTCCTTTTAGTCAAACCTGTGCTGCGGACCTCGACTTTGTGCCTGACTAAGACGGATAAAAACAGAGACTTAAAAGAAAAATAAAAGTTTCAAATATATACGAGAAAGCAAGATAGGTCTGTACTATAGCCGTCCAGACAAGGTGATAGCATCTGCGGGCAAGGCATTCCAATAAAAAAAGTGCATTTGTAGAGCCATGTGGCTTTATATCATTAAAAGCTCCAACCTAGGGAAGGATTGGGTCAAACTCAATAAAGAATACCATGTGACTGGTCTTGTCACCAGTCCAGTAAGGCATAAGATACCGGCAAAAAGGGTATTGCATGGTATGAAAATGTGCTTTCAAACATTTGACTTTACATTCATATAATCTCAGAAAATGAGCATGCAGTCATGTTAGACGCAATAACAAAATAAGAAAATATTTTGCAATATTAGAACTTTCAGTCCCACATGTTGCTAACAATGGTATCAGATATACTGTAAGAAAATATCATGCAACATGATGAAGATTATTGGAACATATAAGTATGGAGTTATGATTTTATTGTCCAATACTAGTGATAGTTATTTCCATGCTATACATCTTGTCTCGAGCTGAATTGTATTTAATTGGACGATTTTCGTAATTATATATAGGAGTCTTCTATATATAGAGCTAAGAGAGATTTATTACAGGAGGTTTGGCAATGAGTGCCTGAGGCAAGTTTTACGCGTCCGTGCCGTAGGGAAAAAGGTAAGAGATTTTTGAATTCTAAAATAAATTAGGATAGATTAAAAAACTGTGTAAAAATACGAAACAAATCTCGTAAGAATTTCATTTACAATTTATTTACTATCAGAGCGTTTTATCAGTTTCATGTAAAAATGATATTTCGTAAAATATTATTGTAAGAAATTAACAGAATATATTTAAAATGGTGCCAAATACGATAACAACAATGTCTTAAGAATTTTATAACAAAAATAAAAACAAATATCATTTGAGTTTTAGAACGCAAGTTCGGTTTTAAGTTCAAACATTTTTCTACGTTGTAACATTTTGTAATAGGATTGTTTTAAACAAAAACAGACTTTCCAAAAATATGGATTTAATATTTGTGTTGCATAGTTTTCAAAATATTCTGACCAATACGATGTGGTCTGAAATTATAATTATTTAATGTTTTTTTCTTCTTTAATTAGAAATATACGTACATACATTTAAAGAAATGTTAAAGAAATAAAATTGCTTATGAGAAAGTAACATTAAACATAATAACGTCTCACATCAAAATACTTGTTCTGTAATTTTAAAACAATATAATACTTAAAGGCCCATTATGCCTCAGAAATGCTATCATTTTCATTTTACAGTAACATAATTTTTTTGGTACATTACTCCAGTTTCCAAAAATGAAATACTTATTTGCAATATAGATGAACTATCTTTGCTTCATTTGCTTTGTTGGCAACTGGTATAATTATAGTAAATCAGTTTTCAATGGATGTCAAAATACAACTATATTTACATTTTGCTACCTTTACCACACTTAACCACACATTCAGCGCTTTTTCCAGCTGTTTAAGATTTAACACGCTCTAAATCCATTATTAAAACGTTATAACACATATTTTTTCACATTTCTAAAGAATTTCATACATAAATTTCAGGGGGATAATGTGCCTTTAACTGTTTAACAATTAAAAGTGTAGTTCGGCGTTTGTTTGGATTCACGGCGCACCAACACAATTAAGGTCATTTGACGTCGAAACAGGAAATATGATTTAGGCTAACCTCGGGTGTTACAATCTTTAAAATAACACCACAGGTCGAAACTACCTAACCAGCTGGAGCTCTTAACATAAATTCCAGTAATTTAAACCCGTTTAGTCGCCTCTTAAGATATTGCAGGGATAAATTGTGGCTGCAATTTTGATGCCTCACATCTTAAAGGCAACACTTCAGCCACAAGGGTTAGGCTAGGAGACAATTCACACATTTTTCTGTAATTTTAACAGTAAAATAATTCATACTTTGTACAAATATTAATGTAATATTTTTTAAATTGACTTTAATAATAATTGAATTTAATTAATTGCAGCAAACGTCAACAAAAAATGTATATTTCAATAAAAATTATATACCCGGAATAAAGCGGATTAAATCATAACAATGACGTATTTGTAAAAAGGGCATTTTCAAAGCTATAAAAGGTCATTTTTTTAAAGTTACAATTCATTCTATGCATATAAATTTTTTAAAGTAAACTATAACATATTTTTATGCTTACGAATATACATACTGTTTTAAAAAATCTAATTATATTCGATATGAGATCTTTACAAAAATTATATCTTGAAATATTTGATACTAATTGGTAAGTGGTTTGTTTCTGCAATTATTTTATGTAGGGAATAAACCGCAGTCTCGTTAAAATGGAAAAGAAGGAAGAAAAAACAGGGCGGAAAAGAAAACGTACTTTTGAAGCGTGAATATAAAATAAATTTAATGGCATATATCTAAGAACAAATATTGGATACTTGAAATTAAAAATCAACTAATTAGCTAATTAGTTCTGAAATTTCTGTAAATATTTTCACTATATACCTCCTACGCTACAATAAGGCGTTGACCAGACATGTGAAAAATGAACTGGTCAACTCTTACTATGCTATGCTAAATTTCAATAATGAACTAGTCCAGTTGAAATCTTTAGAGCTCTTCTTTTTCTTTTATATTTTCAGTTCTTTGTATCGACACGAGAAGCAAATTTCTCAAAATTCTAAGTAGTATTTTCTGTAACATCTTTTATTTTGTTATTCATTTTCATGAACTTTGTTTTGTAGCTGTTGAACTTTGGTAAAAATGATTCTTTTTTGATTTTTCAGCGTTCAAAGATAGTTCTGTCGTAAAAATGGACTGGTTGTCATCCAGATATATTTTATACATACTGATAGTGGCAAACACCGAGTCACAGTCTCATTTTGAAAAATTCCAACCGACATTTTATCAGTCAGTGCTTGATGAAACAGATAATGACTTTGGACAGGAATCAAATGTTTTCGATAGACTAGATGAGGACGAGAACAGCAGGCAGACGACAGGGTTCATCTCTCTTAATGTTGATCCATATGTAGAAACACAGATGTATGGACCGGAAAACCTTCCCGACTTCTTCCGGTCAAATAATGGATACTTAACAAGTGACATGAAAGGAAAAAGAAATGAAAACCACTTTATGAACGGAGATTATAGACCAATTTCAAATTCAAAACGATTATATGTAGAAATGTTTCCTGATACCCAGCCAATATCAAGGCATAAAATGCGACTTTTCCCGTATAGAAATGTCGTAAAAATATCGTCTGGGTGTACAGGAACGCTTGTGACTCCAATTCACGTGCTGACAGCCGCACATTGTGTACATGACGGTCTCGACTTTAAAGACAACATGGAAATGTTGAAGGTTGAAGTAACAGATCGGATAGGTTACCGCGTCCATTATATTGTAAAAATAAACGTTCCAGTCATGTGGTTGAAAACCCAAACGCTACCGGAAATTGGTCGCGGGGCTTTCGATTACGCAATTTTACATTTAAATCTCCCAGTCAACGGTCTTAATAAATTTATGCAGTTATCGTTACCAACTGTGAAAACTTTAAACTCAGATCTAGACTTTTTAGGATTTAAATCCAATAGTTTATGGCTAGCATCATGTAATGCCGATGAAAATATACTTTTCATGAGAGGAAACATAGTTCTTAGAAAATGTAAGACTTCCGCCGGAAATTCCGGCGCGGCCATTTTCTCAAACAGTGTCATAGACGGAAGTAGAATTGTGGGAATTTTGTCTAATACAGTGACAACTGCTGCAGGCCAGTTTTCAGAAGAAGAGACAAACTATGAAGCGATAATGCTTCTGACTTTACCAAAATGTTTAGACATATGTGCTATGACACATCCTGAAGGGGATAAATTTAATGACTGTGAATCTATTCGTCGGAATAATCAACATTACGTTCAACTTGGTTCTAAACGTATCAAACCATTCTTTGGCTGAAATCTTATATTAATATAGAAACAAATAAAACAAAGCTCGTTGCTGTAAACTCGTTTTATTTACTTATGTACTTTATAAAGTGTAAAACAATACCTAAGAAAACGTTTAAAATTGTTTCAATGCACTGGTATTATAACGGAGCGGCATAGCATGCTCGGTAATACCATGTCTATTTATACCATTGAAGTCAAAGTTATACATGTACAAATCAGCGGTAATATAAATGTTTCATTATTTTATTTCGTCAGTTCATTTAAGTCATTTAAGAAATGTTCTATGATTTACACGATTAGCAGTAATATTTCATGGTTTTATGGATTTTAAAATAATTCAATCCCCTCGATTTATTCAACATCCACACAATTGAATAACGGATCGTGATAAAAACGACAATGAAACAGAAAGTCACATGCGAGCTGAATGGACAAAACAGGCTTCTATTCTATAATTGGTATCGGATATAACCATTTAGTTCACCTCGCCTATTATCCATAATCACATGGGAAGCAATGAGAAATAAAAACAGTTTTATTTCCATGATATTATGATGATAATCAGCATTAATACTTAAATATAAATGAAATGACGTACGAATTTAATCAACTTTGAAATACCATTAACATCATTAGCAAATAAAAATCACGTGCTACATTTTACTTTTATATGTTTGAATACACATCATATAAATCGACTTCAAACATAAATTCAAGCATGATTTAATAAATTAAGTTGTGTAACAATTCTTGAAGCAATTACTTAGTCCAGTCTGTAGGGTATTGGTAGATCATGTTATAGAAGAGAAAGTGTGCCTACTTCGATATGTCGTGATATGTCAACAAAACAAGATTGCTTATTTTTCTCTCTATAAGTCATTGTTAATAAATCGTCAATAATAACTACTAAAACAGTACACACGCATTTAATTTTATATATAAAACAGAATATTGTATTGAAGTTTAGGTTTAAATTAGGTGATGCGGATTAATCTTGTTGTACACATGTGGGTTAGACTGATTTCGCAAGCGTGAAATTTTGGTACGTTTTATTTAACAAAACAAACATCAATTATGAATCTAGCATTGATTTAAATAAATTTACACGAAGAAAACCTTTTATTATATACTTTGTAATGAAATATTGTGAAAAAAATGAAATAGAATGCATACCTTCATTATCCATATTTTCACTGTAAAAAAATATTTTTCACTGCAGTGAAACATATAATTTCCACATGTGTCTTTTTGGACTACATGTACTTCAATACACAAAGGAGATTAAAATCTTTCGAATTGTTAGCTCAAGAAAGACTAAAAGGTTTATAATAAACAGAAAATTCAAGTGCTTTATATAAATACAGGATGTATTTTCATCGAGTGGTATGAACTTGTATATTTCACTGGTGACTGTATACCGCCTCTCATGAACTATGTATTTTCATACCACACGATGAAAATAAACTCCGTATTTATAAGAAAGACATGAATATCCCCTATTTAATTTGGTATTCATTAACTAGATTAAATGCTTAAATGCTGAAGCGAATGTAAAACCGAAATAAAAATAAAATTCTTAGACCAGAAACTTTCAAATAAATGTATACATTTGTAATCAAATAAATAATTCTATTTGAAAGACCCTCGATGTATACATGCTTTCTATACAATCACAACTTTTTTACCCTTTTCGTAAATCGTCCGGTTTGGACCTGGAATAGAACTTTGGGTAAGGATGTCGAACAAAATAGTAAGAATACGCCGAACGATTTATGGCTTAGGCTCTTAGGTCTTTTGATAACAGTGACATTAGTATATGTGGCCAGTGAGTGTCTCAATATACTGAACGTCGAAAAGTCAAAATGTCCCAAGTGGATGCTTCTTTTCTTTGTGGTTACTTTGCAACAGAAGTTGTCACTCTAACTGAATGGAAATACCAGCCTACATATTCTCGGTGACCAACATTGTGTAAAACATACTGTTCAGTAACTTGAACCCGTTGTCACCGGCTCAAATAGAATTCGACATATCGTTAACACTCGAATGAAATATAAATTCAGAAACAACCGCAGATGTATTCATACGGCGGTTTTCAGGGTACTTTTAAAGTGTTAAAAGCTACGTATCTGCTACAAAAAAAATATTGTATGAATTTTATAAAAGAATACTTCCAAAATACTTGTATGAAATATAGTTGTAAATTGTCTTTAAGACGAATGGTTGATGCGCAAAATCATTGCTTAACAGATACAAACGTACTTAAAATTGCAGCACATTTTGGCGCGGAAAATTTTATTTTGATTACGTACAACATTTATGTGCGTTAAATCTGGGACATAAGATCTTATGTCCCAGGTTAAATATTACATTTTATGTCACAAAACTTTTGAGAATAGGCCATAAGATCATGTAAACAATATGATCCTCACCGCTGTGGGTTCGAATCCCGGAAGCTATCCAACTAGCTGACGGAACGTTGGTGGTTCTACTCAGGTGCCCGTTCGTGCCTGAAAAAATGCAAGGAGGGGCACCTGAGGTCTTCCTTCACCAGTAAAGCTTGAACGCCGCCAAATGACCTACACTGTGTCGGTGTGACGTAAAACCCAAATCAAACAAACAAAACATGTAAAAAATATAATTTAACTGTTAGTAAATTTTATAAATACATTTTTTAGATATAGCTTTATACCATTTTAATTTTACACGTTGAAACCATTCAAAAGCAGCTTTTGTCCTCAGCCTTCTATAGGAAAATAGGCCACGGTTTAACTGTTAATACGGAGCTAGTACCTTCGAAACACTACATGTGGTTAACCTTAGCTTGAAACAATACAAAATATATCACAAATGTGACCACAATGTGATGCTACATGTATTAATAAATTTTTGCCTCTTGCCCACAGACAAATTTTGGCAGAAATTTTTACTTCTCACAGCTTAATTTTACATGGCCATATAAAATACAGTTAATGAGAGGTCACAGGGTTCTTTCATAGTAAGGTGTGAACAGATTTACCTACATAAAGACCAAACATCATTTCTGCAGTTTTATGAACATTCTACAAATTTTATAAGGCAATGAATCGTGTCCGAACTATCATACTTTTTTTGATTACTAAATCTTAACATAGATTTAAGCTTATGATCATTCTCTGTGATTAAAAAGAACGTTTTTCTATTGGAACACTTTATGATTCTTTTGATTATCACGTGGCTTTAAGAAAAGCCAGATCTAATAACAAAGTCAATGAGTGCAATGGTAAAAATATTTGAACCAAAACAACTTGAAAAATTGTAACTAAATTAAATAAATGCATGTTAAAATTGACTTTAAAGAGTCAGTGGTTGCCCTACATGTATTAAGGAGCTAACTTTCCTACAAGAGTCCTTCCATGGGGTGAAATTATTGAAAAAGTCTATTTACCCATACTTAACTAAGATTTTATAAATAAACTTACTAAAATGAATGGCCCCATTTGACATGTTTGACAAGAAACAAAAAATACAGTATTTTGTTTTACTGGCTTTTCACTTGTCCATGGACAAGTTTTATGGTAAAATCTACTTGGTTTGCAAGAATAAAAACCCCTGTCAGACAAGTTGGGTATAGGACTTCCACACACCTGCAGGATATGTTGTTATACAAGAATTGTAGATAATGTCACATTACTGACAAATTGATACCACAAAAGCTCATTTCAGGTGAGGTAATGAAAGCACATTCTAGGTGAGGAATCAAAAGTTTATCTCAGGTGTGGTAACAAAGTTTATCTCATGTGAGGTAATAAAGGCTTATCTCAGTTGAAGTAACAAAAGTAAATTTCAGGTACGATTACAAAAGCTCATTTCTGGCTTATCTCAGGTGAAGTAACAAAAGCTCATTTCAGGTGAGATAACAAAAGCTCATTTCAGGCAAGATATCAAAAGCTAATTTCGGGTGAGATAACGAAAGCTAATTTCGGGTGAGATTACAAAAGCTCATTTCAGGTGAGATTACAAAAGCTAATTTCAGGTGAGATTACAATAGCTCATTTCAGGTGAGATAACAATTGCTAATTTCAGGCGAGTTATCAAAAGCTAATTTCAGGTGAGACTACAAAAAATAATTTCTGGTAAGATTACAAACGCTCATTTCAGGTGAGGTAATGGAAGACTATTTTAGGTGAGATTACAAAAACTAATTTCAGGAGATATTACAAAAGTTCATTTCAGGTGAGGACCATCTCAGGTGAAATAACAAAAAAGCTCATCTCAGGTGGCCTTAAATATGTACATTGTATACTATTTTGACAGAAATCAGGATATTAATCTCATCTACAAAACTATTTTAGCTTTGGCCACTAAGGTGAGTCATGACTATTTAGGTCATATAAACAAACATGACAAACAGTTATAACTGACACTAAATAATTGATCACAACATTATAATTACCACAAAAATTAAATATCACATTTAATCAGTTATATATCTATTTCAACATCTCTCATTCCTTACCAACTTTATTAACAGGACCTTTAGACACATCATAAGCGTCCTGCGATAAATAATTAAAACCCTGTCCTAGAGGAGATTTTACAGTCTTTATTTCAGTATCAGTCACTTCATTGTCTGTTTTAACTTCAGCTTCTTTGTCGTCCTCAGAGGTCTCGGACAATTTAACTTCATCTTCATTGTCTTCCTCAGAAGACTTTGGCAAATCTTTGTTTTTATCACTAGTCTTTTTATCTTGCAACATGTTTATCTTTTTATTATTACTACTGTCATCAATCTGTGGTAATCGTTTCTCATCGGAGTATATAAAGTCTGTGCTGTCAAGATTATCATTATAAATACTTCTCACATATTTTGTTAAGGTGCTGTGCTGTCCCTCTGGTGGTAAAAGGGCTGCTGCTATCCAACGTTGATCATTGTTTTGAAAATTAAAACTGGCTATGGCCTGATACTGAAATTACAAAAAAACACCAAACTAACAATGGCTATGGCCTGATTCTAAAATTACAAAAAAAACACCAAACTAACAATGGCTATGGCCTGATTCTTAAATTACAAAAAAAACACCAAACTAACAATGGCTATGGCCTGATACTTAAATTACAAAAAAAACACCAAACTAACAATGGCTATGGCCTGATACTGAAATTACAAAAAAACACCAAACTAACAATGGCTATGGCCTGATACTGAAATTACAAAAAAACACCAAACTAACAATGGCTATGGCCTGATACTGAAATTACAAAAAAAACACCAAACTAACAATGGCTATGGCCTGATTCTAAAATTACAAAAAAAAACACCAAACTAACAATGGCTATGGCCTGATACTGAAATTACAAAAAAAACACCAAACTAACAATGGCTATGGCCTGATTCTAAAATTACAAAAAAAACACCAAACTAACAATGGCTATGGCCTGATACTGAAATTACAAAAAGATAGAGCTAAAACTACCCATGACCAATAAATACTAAAATTACAAAAGGACCAAGCTATAACTGGCACTATTTGGTAATCTCAAAATGAAAGACAAACTTGTAACAATATATGCCATGTATTAACTATATGTCAAATTCTACTTATTTTATTTCTGGACAACAATATGTTAACAAATAAGATTGTAATTCAGACATCACAGAAATATGATTCATGGTCTCCGCTATAATTTGGTTACAAACATACAGTACAACCAATCTGTTGAGCAATTAACAATTAAAGTAACTCCACTGAAGGTTTTTGACATGATGGAACTGGAAGTAACTTTTCAAGATGAATATTCCATTTGATGTAGGTCAAGACTAATAAATTGGGTGCAAAGTTTCAGACCATTCGTTTATTCCATTTTTCCTAGAATGATAATTCTCATTGTGAAAAATGACCCAAAACTGAAAAGCGTTGAAATGCTTTACACTCAAATCGTGCTAATAACAGCACAAAAATATGATTTTCAAATTTATTTCTGAGATTATTTCTTGGCATTTTTCCTTTAAATATCTTTCTGTTGTAAGTGTTTCAGCTGATATGTAAGAAATTCAAATTTGATATTTTTATGCTTCTTGACCTCATTAGAGTTCGATTAACAACAATGCTATTGATTTTTCCCAGACTACCAAAATAATTGTTTCAAAAAGGGTGTTACTCTTTAGTGATAGTGAAACAGAGTAGACTTTTGGTATAAACAAGAGATGTCAGAAGGACAGCTTGCTCGACTTTTCTCTGTGTGTAATAGTAAAACAAGAGCTTTGACAATGTAGAAATTTCTATGGATAATGTAGAAATTTCTATGTTCAAAAAGGGCCATAATTCTGTTCAAATCCAAGTTAGAGCTACAAGCCTTAGGTAGTCATCTCCTATTAATCTTTCAAATAAATGCGTGAAATTTCAACGCATTCCTTTCAGTAGTTTGAGAGATACCAACTTGCACACAAAAACTAAACCAAAGTGTGATGCAGATGCCAGAAGTGTACAATAGCACCCCCTATTCTTCTAACAGTCGGGCCAAAAAATAGTTTTACACATTTCTAAAACTATTAACATAGTTTTTTTGCATTAAGATTTCTTTTATTTATCTGAAGGCATGCCATCAGTAGTTGTGTAGAAGTAATATTTCGGCTTAATGATTAACCTCTGTACATATTTCCACACCAGCAACCATACATTAGCTACAGTTGAGTTCACACTAAACTTCCCACCCTTGTGCACTTCTAGTGCACTAGAGCTGAACTAGAAGTGCACACCGTGTGCACTTCTAGTGCACTAGACCATATGACCAGGCTGGCCAGGGAAGGTGACACCTAAATGGTTTATTGGATAATTGCAAATCAAGTGACAGGGGGCATCCATTGTTAAGTTGCTGTAAGAAAAAAAACTTTGGGAATATATATGGCCTATTCATGAATATAAATAAGTAAATTTTAAAATCAGCAGTTTTAACATTTTAGGTGATATCATGTTAAAGCTTAAATTTTTTTTATTTATTTATTGTAATCATATTTTTATTAACCAGTATTTAACTGTAAGTGTAAAATAATACCCCTTAAAATCAAATTTATAGAATCAATAATGTTAAATTTGGAAGACGGACAAAACCCCACCAGTTAAAACCCCACCACTCAAAATTTTATAGAGTGGACAAACCCCACCACTAAATTTTATAGTGGACAAAACCCCACCACTAAATTTCACAGAGTGGACAAAACCCCACCACTTATTGGGCAAGATTTGATGAAGTATAATATATATAATACACACATTTTTTTCACATTTTATTTTTTAATTTCAATATAACATTTGTGTAATATAAGAATGAACAATTTTATTAACAATGCATGTACATCTTGCATGTGCAATATGCAAAAAAGGTGTTACAAACTGTACACAAAAAACTTAATCCTAATCCCTGAAGAACAAAACAGATTATTTATTGATGTTTTGATTGCAAAAAGGTGTTACAAACTGTAACTCCTTATTGATGAGTTGTTCACACATTATTTTGAGTTTCTGCTGATGCACAATTGTTTGTTTTTTAACATGTTTACAAGAAAGTTTTGTCCACTCTATAAAACTGAAGTGGTGGGGTTTTGTCCACTCTGTAAAATTTAGTGGTGGGGTTTTGTCCACTCTATGATATGTAGTGGTGGGGTTTTGTCCACTCTATAAAATTTTGAGTGGTGGGGTTTTAACTGGTGGGGTTTTGTCCTACATTCGTTAAATTTAAATATGCTCCGTAATGGATAATTAAACAAGTGTTTTTAAAGCTTTTTTTAATGGCCGTGTATTTCAATTTTTCTAGTGTACAAATGGGAAAATCAATGTGATAATTCGGGCCCAATTAATTTAGTTTGTAACAACATAAACTTTTTTTTCATAAGCTCAAACAAATCAAGGAAAGATTTATATTTAAGCTAAATATTATTTCTATAATATATAACTTAGAGACAATTCCTCACGTTCAATATTGAAAGAGAATATTAATACATTGATTTTAAAAACAATCAATATACTGTGATAATTTAGTATTCAACTGTGTAATGCTTGCATATGTTTTAAAGATATAAATAATTAAAATATTATCCATAAAATAAATAAATTTGATAACTTTATTCATGATTTCAATATTAAAAATTTAATGTATAAAGGGAATACTTTTATTGAAGAGGAAAATCTCAAGTCATGCTGTGTATTGGTATTATCTGAGAGGGACTGTTTTCATTATACAACACTCCTGCTGATAAGAGGGCCTCAGGGTAAATAACAAAGTACAGTCAATTTTGCAGATTATAAGTATGCATTGAAATTCCCTGGTTTTTTCAAAATGCATGTTTGACACAAGCTTGGGATTCATCAGACATTGGCACTCAGGCTAGTTAGTCATATAGATGAATGACCATAATTTTTGTATAATCAAACATACAAAAAAAATCATAATGGCATAAATGCATATTAGATATTATTGTCTCTAAAGCGGAATTTTCTATATTTATATATCCATTTATTCACATTCCTTGCCATTCTGCATAATAATATATAACTTAAGAGGCAATGCCTCATGTTCAAGATTGAAAGAGAATATTAATTGATTGATTTTAAAACAATCCATACACTGTGATATTATGTTTTTCAACCATGAAATGCTTGCAAAATTTTTAAAGATATAAATAATTAAAAAATTTCCATGAAATAAATAAAATTGATAACTTTATTCAAGATTTCTATATTAAAAATTTAATGTATAAAGGGAATGCATATAGAGACTTCATATCAATATTTGTCCACATTTGTTGCAATTCTGCATTTAAATGTGCAGCATCTTTTTGTTTCTGAACTGAGAAATGTTAATTTTTTATATTATAGATTTGACATATTTGCCTTGTCAGTTTTAACACATTTAGAAAATAATATATTTTAAAGAAATATTTAAATACATGATTATAAAAATTTTGCAACTTCCTTTTCCCTTTAACATGTTAAATGCAGATCTTTCTTTTTGCGACGGACGCGCCCTCAGGCGCGTTCAGAGCTAAGTCATCTACACATGGGATTTCGTTGGCTACACTCGCGCAATGTGTCCTAAACCGATTAACAGCCCAAGAAATAGTAGATGAATTTGATCCTTCAAAACTCCCATACTTTGTCTGGATATCTTAATGTCTTCCATATTTAGCCTTTTCAATTTCAAATTAAGTTATCAAAGTTAAAATATGAACGTATATTATTGATAAAAACGTTATAGTCCCGTAGTATTATTGCGCATTATGCAAATTACTGCTGAAACGATTTACCGCTGTCGGAAAAGTAGGACAGCAAATTATACTGCAATAAAGCTGTAACCTCTGAGTTCCAAGACATTATTAGTAGGAAATAAATATTTCTACATTATACAAAACATTATTATTAACAAATCAAAAGTTTTTCGTGACTCTAGGATAACTCGCGCATTAATAAAAGAAGAACTATTTTCGTGACTCATACCGCGGTTTAGCTGAATATTCAGCAGTTATTAATATATTAGATTCAGTACAATAGTTAGTATAAATATCTATTTTTTGAAAATGCATGTAAGAAGAGAGTTTTTTCAACACTTTACCGCCATGTAGTCTTTCATGGTAAGGAAGTTATAATATCAGTTCTACTTCCGATTCTTGTGGTTTGTTTACATATTTTTCTAGGTCATGATATGAATTAACCTTCGCTATTCTAAAAATAGATTCTGCTTCACCTGTTCTGATTTTTGGACAGGCGATTAGGGAGTACACATTATACATGTAATTAATAAACCAGCGGATTACATGCAATACTTTTAGAAATTCTATACAATTGTAAGATGCAAACAAGTTGAAATGGAATTTAGTGTGAAATTGAAAAGGACAACTAAACACTGTAGTGCTTAAGTGACATTTAAATTAAAATAATAACGATGTGCTGTGGCCTCTACATCTTTACCTTGTAAATAAAAAAAATCTAAAAAATACACTATTAATTGCTGATGATTTTAACCAAATTTTTTTTAATGAGACATATTATGCAAGAGAAATAAAAATACAAATGACTTATATTTTATTGTCTATATGCCCACTATGATATAACACGAAGCAATTCTAAATAGCATTCTCAAATGTATAATGTATTATGTTTGAAGTTTATTTGCCTGGATTTATTTTAGAAATATTTCGTTGACAGTTTTTTTTCTATTTACATAGAGCTCATTTCTTAGAATAAATCGATAAGGACACTGATTTACAAGTTTGACCAGAGTTTTTAGGCATGAATTTCATTCTTTATTTAAGTGCTTGAAAGTAGAAAATCTGAATTATATCAGTTTGGGACACAAAATATATTGCTCTACAAATCTCGAACTTGTATGGAACAAATTTTCTCTGTTATATATTTTGTGTTTTGTTTTTGTTTAAAAGAAGCCTTAATGTCTCTCCGGTTGCATGTCCGTCGCATTCAGTGCTGCAGCACTTTGATTTAAAATAAAATATCACACATGAGCAGAAAACAGTTACAGAAGATTAGAGTGTCAAAAGTCATGCTGTGTATTGGTGTTTTAATATAGTACCCTGCTGATAAGAGAGCCCCTCAGGGTAAATAACAAAAGGCAGATGATAAATATAAGTAGGCAATGTAGGGAATTCTGTATTCTCTGGATGTTGGTGCAAATAAATTTCATTACAAGTAGTACAAAAAGAAAACTTAAATATTTTTGCAGTTTATAATTAACTTATGAAAATAATCGTATAGCATAATTATGTTGCAATGCATGAAAAAAATAAAAAAGATTGGTGTCGTCTCAAAAATGGAATTGAAAGATTTTCTAATCTTTTTGTTAATATCCATGTCAGTTAAAGTATACAGTTACTAGTGTCCCACAGGTACATATCAATACTTAATCCACATTTCATACATACCATCATTATATATAAATATTTATTTTGAGAATAATATATATCATTTAAATGGCGATTCTCAGTTTGAGAAGGTAAGAAAGATTATAAATGGGACAAAATTGACAAAATTTAGGCCAATTATAAACAAATTATTTCTTTAATGTATTAAAGGCTATTAATGCTTAAAATCATTACCTTTAACTAAAACAACCATAAGTTAAGATCAAAAATAACTAATTGGTATAATTTGCCCCCCTCCCCCCCAAAAAAAAAACAAACAACAAAAAACTGACTGAATTTTGTTTAATTAGCATTTCAATGTTTCATATTCATTACCAGATTTCAATAAAATAGAATCGTATTAAATATCAATTAAAGTTATAATTGTTTATATTTACTTATTCTAACAATTAAGTTTTTAAAGTACAAAATCAGTAAAATTAATGACTTTGAAAAATTATTGTTTCTAATATTTTTACGCCATATTTTACAAATCCAATATTCACAAAATTTCAAATTTATTATGAAAAACTATTATACAGATATCTATATTTATCTATCTTTTTGTAAAAGTCAAGTTGCTATTCATTGAAATAAAAGGTAACTGCTTGATACATATAAAAGGTCTGGTGCACTACAAAGTGCACTTATGAAGTGCACTAGTAGTGCACTACTAGTGCACTTTGAAGTGCACTAGTAGTGCACATCTAGTGCACTCCTAGTGCACTTTGTGTAACCTTTAGTGTGAACTCAACTGTAGTTGAATTACTTTCTCACATGAAACGGAAAACCTATGGCACATATAGGACTCAAACAATAGCATACATGTGAACTCTCCCACTTTTAGCGGGGGGTCTCCCAATTTCTGCAGCCAAATTTTCAAAGATTTTTCTTAAAATAAGGGGTATTTTCACAAATTAAAGAATTCTCCCTATTTTGTAAGTCAGAACTTCCTTCTTTGTTTATTGCATATTAAAAAATCTCCCTCTTTTTAAAGAAAAATCTCCCACTTGATCATCAAAAAAAGTTCACATGTATGCAATAGTCATAAGTGGCAGTAACAAGTCATTTGAATTCACTCACCATAACAATTTAGCCTTTAAAACTGCTGTTAAATACAAATAAACATAAAATAATTGTTTTCCAATAATAATATTATAAACAAAATTTACCGTTGACAATACTTCAAAGCTGACATTATTCTTCCTTAAATATGTGACAGTATCTTTTGATAATTCTCTCTTCATACTACCTGTTCCAATAATCAACAAATCTGAAATAATATAGACAGTCATTGTAGAAAATTATACTTGAGAAATACAATTTATCACATACCCATGTGGCTTATGTGACTACATAAAATTGGTTTTGTACTTCTGTACATATATTTTGACGTGATGTCATTTGTCTTATACAAACATAGCATAAAGATGCACCTAATGATAGCATTGCACTACATGTGTGTCTCTGGAAACGCTTTTTTCTTCTTTTAATCTGAATGCATAAAAAATCATTTTAAAACAGAACAGTAAACCAAATACCTTTAATAACCGTACCTTAGATTGTGTTTGGAAAATACATATACCTTTACTTACCTAACCTAGGACTAAGGTGTGAGCATAGAAAAAAAATACCTTTACTTACCTATCCTAGGTGTGAGCATAGGAAAAATCACCTTTGTTGTGAGCACAACAAAAAATATCTTAGCTCACTTACCTAAACTATATGTGACCATAACAAAAATTACCTTTACTTACCTTACCTAGTTGTGAACATCGCAAAAAAACCCAACAAACATTTACTTACCTTACCTAAGTGTGAACATAGCAAAAATCAACTTTACTTACCTGACCTAGGTGTGAACATGGCAAAAAAATCACCTTTACTTTTCAAACTTAAGTGTGAGCATAGCAAAAAATACCTTCACTTACCTAACCTAGGTGTGAGCATGATAAACCATATATCTTTAATTGTAATCAAACTTACATGTCAGCATAAATTTACAAACAAGCTTCCCTAACTTATCTATTAACTTACATGAGAAACTTTATCCTTACATATATGTGAGCATGCCAGACAGAAGTTTTAAACTCATCTACTTAGTAACTTACCTAATTTAGGTGTGAGTAAACCAAACAAACTTAGTGACTTCTCATTTATATCTTGGTAACCAAAAATCTGAAACGACAATTAAGAGAATTATGCTTTAAACTGTGTAAGTGGAATAATTATTCTTATGCCTATATTCTTGCATAAAAACTGTACAAGCGGGTATACATTATCAGAAAAGAAAACCTGCATTTACCAACAAAATCAAGTGAACATTTGATGTTATTGCATCATTTTAAAAAAGATTTTCATGATGCTGTGTAAAAATTGCAATTTGATGGCAATGATAAATAGGTAAAGATGGCATGGTACTTTAGTTTTTAATACAATATTGCAATAGCCGCTGGAAAGACCGTAATATCTATGATCAAGGTTAAAGTTTGCGGACGGCAACGGAGCCATTACTGTAACAATACCTCTATTTTTTATAATTTTTTTTTTTACAAAAGCTGAGCTAAAAATGGAGAACATACAATTATACGTTGTCTTTGAAGCTATTTCATTATAAGTTAAACAAGCTTACTTAAATGTCCACTTACTTTCCACTTTAGAAATGTTCTTGGGAAGAATATTGCTGGACCTGCAAGCTGTGTACTGTTATTGAGGAAAAATCCCAGTCCACTGTATTTTGTAATGAATATAAGATCACTTTCTTGTTGGCTCAATAATACAGTACTACTTGATAACTTAGAATGCATCTCTGGATCTAGATACTTCTCTGTCATCTCTGGGGTCACTGGTTTCTTTTTAAAGCGTACAAAAAGCCTGGAATAATACAGTATTTTATTTAATAAATACATGTACATGTACCTATAAGTTTTCAGGTGAGTAATACAGTCATTTTTGTAGAACAAATACAAAAATCCATATCCCATATATAATACTTTGTTTAGCCTATATATAGATATATGTTAAACATAACAGACTTAACATGTGCATTCTGTTTGTAGATATAGAGATTAGAGGTTTCCCAAACCTGTTGAAAGTTAATTTTTCATCAGATCTGTCAAACATGTCCCTGCATCAATTTAAATGCACTAAAATGAATCATATTAGTAACATTTTATATAAATAACATATGGGTTTGTGGGTGACGGTAAATATATCATTCCGAAGAAAATACTGTATATACTGTAACAGTATTTTCATGAGGGATGATATTTTCACTGTTACTCACAAACCCATGTGTTACATCTATGTGTTATCTAATTACCCTGAACAAATCATTTGAAAATTTCAGCTACATGTAAATCAAGCTGTAACAATTGAACGAAGTGTAACAATAACTTAACTGTCCTTACCTTGCAAGTTGAAAAAAACAACACATGACTAAATTTATATACTGTTAAAAAGTACTGTTACCTTGTACAAATTTCTTAGTCACATGGTACACATATGACAAAACGACTAAAAATGTGATAGCGCTGGAAACAAATCGAGCGCAATTTAGCTTAATATCAGATAAGGGCTTACAGTAGCATTAATTTGTTGATGTTGTGTTAGAATCAAAATAATATATCAAAATCTTTCAAAAGTTATTCTATGCCTTACATAATGATATTATTAAACTATATTATAATTAATTATTGAAGAAATAATATATCTCAAACAGTGATTTTATCAAGCTACGCCCGCGTGATTTAATAATTTGCATCCAAACTCCAAACAGTGATTTTATCGCTTGATATTATCACTGCTTGGGATGTATTATTTCTTATATATATATTTCTTTTATAAAACTCAAACTTGTCAAAGGGTAAGTTTAAATTTTGATGAAATTGAAGGGGAAATGTTTCGATTTAAAATCTAGGAAACTCACATTTAGGAAATTGAAGAATATGGCTTATTAAACACAGGGTAAGTATCTAGACGGAATATTTCAATTCTTGGCAATTTATCCACTGTTTACAAATAATTTAGTCGAATTTTGATATATCCGAAATCAAGCAAGTTGTTACATAAAACATGATGTGTATAAGATAAACCATAGCATTATTTGATTTAAATTTGTGCATCAAATAAAAATACATTTGAACAATGGTGTTTACCTATTATACTGTTGATTTCGAGACAAAAAAGTACATTTCTGTGTAATTCTTCTTAGTGACATTGTCTGTGTCGAAAAAGAGTATTCAAAGGGAAATAACTCTGGTTGAGGAAGAACATGTGAGTAACCTCTAAATTGTCATTATTTTATATTGTAACTTGACTTGTAGCTTGTAGCTTTTGGTATCAATGTATATGGAGGCCGATTATTAGGAGTTTTATTGCTTGCAACCCATAGACATGTTGTTGTTGTTTATTTTTTGCTTTCATTCTGGTGGTCTTGTAGGGAACAAGACATTTCTTCCCCAGACACTTTACATCTTGGGACATTTCATACCCTAAAATCAATGACTTTCCGCTCCTAATCCACTTTTTTAGATTAAATATTATCGATAATGTTTGAACAGAACAAAACAGAACAATTACTTGATTTTTGACATGGACTCAACACCATCATATAACAAAAATACCCAGCCACTTTAATTTGGGAGTGGAGCTCCAAACACCTAAAAAGCCAAAAAAATTAAATATTTTTGTAAAATCCCAGCACATAACTTATAAATATAGGGTAATAACACCCTTAAAATAAGTTTATTTAAAAAAATGCCCATTTTTTAAAAACATCTTTTTATAATACTCTTTTTTTCATTTAATAAATTTTAAATTTTTTAAAAAAGATAAAGGGAGTTTTTTTTAAAAAAAACCTTTAAAATTACATTTTGAAAATTTCACCTTCATTTGTGTAAAAACAAAACGAAAAATGGGGGTTAAATGTCTCATCAAATTTAATAATAAGGAGGGTTGAAGTGTCTAAGGGATGAAGTGTCTGCAAAAAATGGCTTTGGATGAAGTGTCTGAGGGATAACTGTCTGTAAATAGACGAAACCGAAATATACCAACCTCTTTAAGTATTACTGATATTGAAATCACGAGCCAACATTTTATAGATTTGTTTAGGACAAGATACAAGGAGCTTTATTTTTAAAAGTCTGTTTACAAATGGTAAAAAAATAGTTACATTGTAATAAGCCATTTACTGACATCCGGGTTCATTAATCACTAAGATATTTTATTCCATAATATTAATGAAATCATCTATTTGATGTTTATGGTGAAACCAGGGTATTTCAAATTGAAAGACCCTGGTGAAACAAAGTACATTTAATTGAATGTTTACGTACAAAGACAATCATCATAAAAGATGCAAAGGCAAAGTAAATCTTATACCTCCAGTCGTTCAGTTAGTAGTTAGTAATCAAATGCAGCATTTGTAGTCATTCTTAAAGTAATGTCAACAAAGGAATTCTGTAAAACTATTTATTAAAAAAACATGTTTGTAATTTAAATCATTCACTAAGCACGAAGTAGTTTATAGAAGAAAAAAAAACGTATCAAATATCGTGACTGTGGATCGAACTCGCCCGCTGGTTCTTAAAGCAGACGCTCTTCTTATACAAGGGGCAGGACGTGAAGTGGTTGCACACTTGGTTCAAGCGAGCGAATTGGTTGCAAACTTGACAAAATGTCGAACACGGCGTGATTTTTTGAAACGGGCGAACGATTTTTTGCCAGGCAAGTTGGTTTCTTTGTTATTTTGAAGTTCATTAGTATGTCTATTCCATAATGCAATATATATGCCACACTCGGTTTAAGGTTTCAGCATCCTAGATTTCTGTTTTGACGAAGTTATTTGAAGATATAAACTGATCATGTAGATATTTTGAAATTTGACATGTTGACTGTTCTGGTCGGTTTTTCTCCTAATTTATTCGAATTTGTAAGTTTTGAACTGCATTTAACAATAACAAAATATGTTTCTGTCAAATGCTGTACAAAATGGTTTAGTTCGCAAGTCCGAAGATAATAACGTTCAATACACAAAAAAATCTTGTTCAAGCACATTTTGGTTGCAGACTTATACTTCAAAGCATTTTTTGGTTGCAAAAACTTACAGTATTCTTATTCTATTGAAATCCATAGTAAAATTTTGCAAAAGGTGTGTAGAAACCTATTTTCAATGGCAATTATTGAACATTAATGTTTTGTTACTTGTTTTTGTTATAAATGTTATTTTATACTTTCTTCTTTTACAACAGTTATCCACTTCCATGTTTCAAATTACATGGTTCTCGGTTCAATACTATAATCATCAGTAAAAGCCTGCATACAAAAATAATAGCATATAGAATGTGAGAGTACTATTGTATGTAAGTGAATTATTTTCATCATAAACATAAGGACATGTGCACACATATACGATGTTACTCGGCAAAATTTCTAAAGTTTTTATCAAAACCACAAGAAATGTTAATTTGTTTGTTTCGTATGATCAGCAGTTGCTTTAGACATAAATTATGTAAATGTACTTTAATATTTTTTACAAACCAAAAGTTAAAATGACATGTTTGTTTACAATATTTCGGATTTGATGTACTTCATATGTCAATTGGTATTCTAAAGATGATTTTCATTATTAGATCATAGTATAAATGATATACGATCGGTTATTTACATTGACTGATACGTGACAAAACTACTTAAATGCATTGTTCGAGTTAGGGAATTTGGAAGATGTTTCGATTGGTCAATAATAAGGAACAATTTAAAGAAACATGTGAATAATGCCCTTGTGTCAATGTTAATATAGTTTTTATCTAATATATAATCAAATTTATTTCAAATCTCAAAAAAGAACAATAATGAAAAGCTGTTTGTTGCTATTTTCTTCTTCTTTTCCTTTACAGTTAGTCATGCCAAGATATAAAAAAAAAGTCCTGAGACTTTGTAAAAAAAGAAGTATATCGAGGAGAAAAAATGATGAAGATAAACACAACTGAACTTCAATTTAGCATATTGTGTTATATATCTATTTGAAAGACCCTGTGTTAGGATATATCTGCACGCATGCACAATTTGTATATAATTATATTTCTTATTAGATGAACGGGTATAATTGCCTTAATATTGCCAATTATTTAAAAAAAAAATGATTAGTAATTCCTCGCTTAAAATATGCATGCCACAATTATTGACACAAAAGTTTGCAACCAAAAATGCTTGAAGTATAAGTCTGCAACCAAAATGTGCTTGAACAAGATATTTTTGTGTATTGAACGTTATCTTCGGATTTGCAAACTAAACCATTTGTACAGCATTAACAGAAGCATATTTTGTTATTGTTAAATGCAGTTCAAAACTTACAAATTCGAATAAAATTAGGAGAAAAAACCGACCAGAACAGTCACATGTCAAATTTCAAAATATCTACATGATCAGTTTAATATCTTCAATAACTTCGTCAAAAACAGAATCTAGGATGCTGAAACCTTAAACCGAGTGTGGCATATATATTGCATTATGGAATAGACATACTAATGAACTTCAAAATAACAAAGAAACCCACTTGCCTGGCAAAAATTCGTCCGCCCGTTTCAAAAAATCACGCCGTGTTCGACATTTTGTCAAGTTTGCAACCAATTCGCTCGCTTGAACCAAGTGTGCAACCACTTCACGTCCTGCCCCTTGTTATAGAACTGCGCTAGCTGTACATATATGAGAATTATACTACTCTAGGTCTAGTTATGTCTACATAATAACATACTATATTCTGTCCCAGGTAAAATACATTCTTAAAATTTATTGTTTTACGTTGCAAATTTATTCTAAAACGACTTTGTGAACTTGTTTGGTTTCGACTCTGCTTTTTGTTTTTATAAAAATATTTAAACGACATCTCCTCCTCATTTTGATGACACGATGCAGGTAGTTCTTATAAAATGCTCATATGGTTTCTGCCTTGAACAAGATCGCCGCAATAGCGTAAAAAGAACTAAACTTTAAATGACATCTGGTGAGCGGTCAAGGACCATCATGGTCCTCTTGTTTAGCTAGTCTGTTGTTTATAATTAATTATTTCAAGACTGGAAGCTGAATGCTTAACTGATATAAATTGATGTAAACCGGTAATTTTTTATGCTTTATACAGGATAGTTGGGAACTTGCAGGAATGGTTCACATGGTTCACTTAGTGAGACGATGCCTCTTTAAACTAAGTGTTTCACGGAAAACTTACATTACAAACTTTCATTCGAGTACAGCACGCCCTATTTTCACCATCCTAGGGCAATACCAAAGTCCATATTATAGCACGGTCCGTGAGATATCGGGAAGACCAGAACGGATCCTTCCAAACTTAATACAGTCATGGACGGAGCGGCTTGCACGTGCAGAGGTACCAGAAGCGAACAGTTCTGTAAACCTGATTGTTGCTCATGCGTTAGGCAAGAAAATGGTCAGTGTGATCTTGCAAATATTACTTTGATATTTTTATGACTTTTATTGATACATATTGGCGAAATTCTTCGATATTTTACTAGTTATATATTTCACCTTTGGTATTGTGGGCAAAAATAATTATTACATAATAAATGAAATCAATATTTAGTAAATAGCCGTATATATGGACTAGCCTTGTGATTTCAAATATTTCTTATATACAGTTAGTTAGCTTGTAACTGATCATTTTTTTCATGATAATCCCGAAAAATGAGTTTCAAACATTTTTAGTTGAAATGTTAAATTAAGCTGGTGCTCGGGACCATGAACGGTAGTCTGCATAAACACTTCAGTAAGTCAAAGCACAGAAGGCGCTGAATTTGTCTGGGTCTCAGAATGTCAGAAAGGTGAAGGTTGTGAGATTATAAAACAATTCGTTTTTGTATAGTGCCACCAATGCTTTCCAGCGTTTTATTGTTGTAAATTGGCTATAAGACTAATTGCAACACTGATATTCAATCCAATGTTTATTTGACTTAAACAATTTGAAAAAATAAATTGCCTTAACTGGGATTTAAACTCCAGACCTCTCGCTTCCTAGGCGAGAACGCCAACCCCTCGGCCACGGTGAATTAACGTGGTAACTGTCTGAAGAAAAGCATATTATTCTAAATTAGGGTTTGTAACGACGCTAACTGTTGATTAACACTTTAAATAATCATGGCGCTTACTTTAAGCATGTATATCTATAAAGAATAAAACAATATTAGAAATCTTCGACCATTCGGGAATTATTTTGCTTGAAAATTAATGCGCCTGTCATGTGACCATATTTACGTAGTGATCTCCCCTGAATTTTTCGGCCTTAGACATATAAAGGGAAGTAACCGCTTCAAAAAACTACTTTCGGCATTTGCAATTAACAGCATTAGAGTCTGAAATTTCGCTACCATTATTTGTTTGGTCTGACGACCCAAACAAATAATAAAACCGTATCGACATTCTTTCCAAGACATTCTTTAAATATTTCCATGTTGAGGTAGAGTGGTGACGAGGTATAGGATCGGACTCCAAATAAGAAGGTCTGGCTCCGAATCCTACCAGTGATGTGATTCTTTTTTCGACTTCTTCGCCATTATATGTTTAAATGTATGAGTACTGCTTAATCCGGTTATGGGATGTTCACTTTCAACTATTGTTCATGAACCTTTTTTTTCAATTATAGGCTCAATTAAACCACGGATTTATATTATTATAATATAAATCCGTGATTAAACCGAATCTGCAACATATTAAATTTTGCCGTTTTAGTCTTTCTTTAGGGATTCTATTTCTCTCTATCCTACAATTCACACTAGTTGGTGATTTTACTGGTTAGACAAACTCAATTACCAAGCCAGACTGTTTAACAGGGTAACGGTAATATATCTGGTGCCTTTCAGATACATGAAGTGGACATGAATATAGTACCTACCGAGGTATCATTAAAGGCAATAGAGGATATGATTAGTGAAAGATTAAAAAGGTAATTACACTAATAAAACGATCACAGTAATAAATATCATAATGACTATTCTGAAGTTATTTACTATTCAATGTTATTATTTCAGCTTTTATCATAGAAATCTGTTTAAAATTTTGTAGACAATTGAAATCTGTTATATATTATATCATTACAAGGTATGTTTATTATCATAGATTTCCGTTGTCATGGTAAAGGAGCTATTTATACAAAAGCTAGAGTCCCCTGATCTCCTCTGATAACTGTTTTGAAGATTTTCTGGAATTTTGTTTTAGCAAGGAATTTAAAACAGTCGGCAGAAATTGGAATTACGCCTCCACTTTTCATGTAGCAGTTCACATAGGCACCTTGGTTTCGGGATAAAAACCCTTTTAAGAGGTTTGTACATGCAACGATTTTTAACGTAGATGTCTCGATAAAACCACTAGTAACATCGGAAAAAGAGGGGTTTAGAGATAAAAATTGTTACATTCAATCAAATTTCAGTTTTACAAACCTTTTAAAAGGGTTATATCCCGAAACCAAGTGCCTATATGGTAGTTCCTATACCATGTGAGTGTAAGATGTATGATTTACTTAACCACTATAGAGGATATATTTGTATTTGTCATGTATTCCATGCATTATGTATGATGAATCATGGTTGAATTTGTTCAGGGTACCAGTCCAGTATATCATAGGAGAATGGGATTTCCACGATATGACGCTCGAGATGAAGGAACCAGTACTTATACCACGACCGGAAACTGAGGTATTTACACTTTTCCGGAAAATGTGTGAAAATGTCAGTTTTTTTTAACGAAACATAAATCATACACTTTTTTCATAAATTTGTCAATTTGTTTAAACAATCCTTAAATCATAAATTACATTAATTAAATGTTCACTATGTACGACTATTAATTGTTTTTAATATTTTGCGTATGAATTCGAATAAATATACCTCTTTTGGCTGTTTTAGGAGCTTGCCGCAATGATAGTTAATCAGTGGCCACTATCACGTGACCAGACTGGGAGATTTCTCGAGATCGGATGTGGAACTGGAGCACTATCTATGTATATTCTTAGACAGCTTCCTAAAGTATGTTCTTAAAACACATGTTGTTTATATCTTTAATTGTTTCGTTAATACCCTCTTGTGCAGTTGTATTGGATTTTTTGGTTGGGTTTTACGTCGCCCCAACACAGTAGTCTAGAGATCATAATGATTTGGCGACTTTCCAGCTTTACTGGTTGATGAAGACCACAGGTGTCTCGACGTGTATTATTTCAGGCACGAACGGGCACCGGAGTAGAACCACCCTTAGAGCTTCCTCACTTATATGGTAATATTATACAATTATTGACTAGTGAGCCATTGAATATGATGTGATATTCACCGGCAGATGACATATTGACCGAGGCGCGAGGCGATAGCCGAGGTCAATATGACTTTCTGCCGGTGAATATCACATCATATTCAATGGCTCACTAGTCAATAATTGTTTTATTATATGAATAGGCTAAGAATTTTAAAAAATCACGAAAAAGTACATCCTTATATACATGTACAAATCTTGCCTCGTTGAAGCGCGGGAAAAAGACGCACGTGTTAGGCGTGCAACGACTACGCGAACGCTGCGCATACAAAAGTAATTCAAGTTTATACTCATCAATACGGTTTAGCCTTTAAGTATAACAGTAAAGTAATGATATTTCAATCGAGAAATATGCCATAAAGAACAAAACGCAACAATTATTTTTTAATTAACACGTATTTAACAGTCTACGATGTATGGTCATTGAATATGAGTCTCAATCTATTTTTAGACTTGGAAAATCCAATTCAGCCAGTTAATATGATACTACACCCAGTGAATATGATTTTATAAACAGTTCTGTTGACTACAGTTTGGACCAATAAGATTGCAGCTATTTTTAGATCATATAATAATATCTAATATAATATAATTTTCTGCGTTTGAACGCAGTGAATTAGAAGATAATTATTTCCCCCTGTTTCGTTGTAATTGTTTGCAATAGGTGGCGCTGTGCAGCGCACGAGTTTCTCGGGTATAATGTACAACGTGTTCATTCAGCGCTAGGACAGCCGACGATAATGAGTGAAGAAAATTCTAACAGTACTTCAGATTTAATCCAACAGCAGTTATTGCAAATAACACAGCAGTTACAAAGGCACAACGACGATGTTAATTCTTTACGTGAAGAAGTACGGGGTAATAATATTTCTGTAGGGAAGGAAGTTAAAAAGTTAAAAGCAGATTTGGACTTTGACTGGAAGAGAAAAGGTAATAAAATTCAGCACTGAATTTAATAACCGTGATATACTAGAACATTTAAATCAATTGGACTGGCTCTTAAAAACAAAAAGTACGAGTACTGCAGCGAAATCCTGCAAGAATCAGTAGACTTAGTCTCTCGCAGACAGAAATTTATTCAAGTCGCTGACCAGTCCGAATTCGGGTGGGATAACTGTTGATTGTTATAACATCAAACCCCTCTCGCTAGTGATTCCGACGATGAAGCAAAGCTCCGAAGGGCTGAAAATCAAGCAGCTAAACGTCGAAAGTCTAAGTCAGCCAAACGTTCTCAGACGACACGCAGGCAACCATCTGCTACGGTTACTGCGCCTTCTATTCCTCCTACTTTTCGCTTCCCAAGCGCAGCAGCATCACCAGCACCATTTCCGATCTCACAAGCACGAAGCACTGGGTTTTTTCGAGGCTCCAGCCCATATCAACAACGATCTACCGACTACGGTTCCTGTTTCATGTGTGGATCTTTCGACCACTTCCGGCGCTCATGCCCTCTTGTCGCAGACAGTTTCAGCAACCAGCTTCAAGCCAATCAAGAAGTAACATTTCGGATACAGTTGATTTAGAAGATGAGTATTTATGTAATGACTCAGAAAATTTAATGACAGATAAAATTAAGTTTTTAAACACAGGATTATTTTGAATATGAGTCTGGTCAGAAAGAAATAATTGTAAGGGGTAGATTAAGACAAAATTAATTTTTTTCGGAAATCGATTACAACAAATAATTTTGTTATTGATACGATTTGCAGGGTTATAAAATTCCTTTTTTCTCTAAACCCGAATCATGGCATTTGCCTAATAATAAGTCTGCTTTAGAAAACAAAGCTTTTGTTATTCAAGCTATTCAGAATTGTTAGACAGGGGCTTGATAGAAATTTGCGAAGAAATACCATTTATTGTAAATCCTTTGACTGTTTCTGTTCGTTCCAATGACAAACGTAGGCTTATTCTAGATTTACGTGCAGTTAACAAGCATTTATGGAAAACAGTATTTTAAATATGATGATATCAAAAATTGCTCTTGAATTTCTCAAAAAAGGTTCATGGATGATAAAATTTGATATTCATTCCGCCTATCATTTTATTGAGATTTTCCCGCCACATACTACATTTTGGGGTTTTCCTGGACACATTTACAAGGCGTTTCAACTTTTTATAAGTTTTAGTTCTCCCTTTTGGCTTATCTACGAGCGCATATGTTTTCAGTAAGGTGTTTCGCCCTTTAATTGTAAAAATGGCGGGCGAGGGCAAAAAAAGACTTTATGTTTTTTGATGATGGTTTCGCTACAGACGAAACCCATGATAAAATAAGCACTGTAGCTGCAGAGATTAAGCAAGATCTGATTTCTTCAGGTTTTGTTCCCAAATTAGAGAAATGTATATGGGCACCTACGCGTATCATGGATTTTTTAGGTTTAAACTTAAATTCTGAATCTGCAGTCTTCGACTTAACCCACTCGACCGACGACCGAGTCGAGTAAATTTGCGGGTGGTCGAGTGAAAATTCCAAGCTGGTAGCCCGTCTGGTCGAGGGCTTTTTTCATATCCAAATTAAGAAAATGTTGGAAATATGCAGAGCTCCAGATAGCAGTGTTTTGGCTTTATGAAAATACAATATATTTCTGCTGATTGAATGGAAAACTGAAAAGTAGTATTGTCAACACTGCTGTAAGTTGAAACGAAAGTAGCAGGAAAAGTGACATCGAGTAAAAAGGGAAGGTAACTCTTGGGAGTTTCTAAAATGAAATTATTGATAAAGTTAAATTTGGTGTTATTTTTGTACAAAATGTATGCAAAAAATACCATTTTGGTTCGGGCTAGTTAAAATGTGTTCGGGCTAGTGAAATTTGTAAGCTGCTAGCCCGACTGGGCTAGTGCTGATAAAAAATTAAGGCGAAGACTGGATAATCTGGTATAATTTCCGTACCGGAAGCGAGAATTTCAAAGTGTTTAAACACACTTGAAATGATCGAAAATGCTATAAAGAAACACAGTCGTGTTTGTGTACGTTTATTAGCTAGTTTCGTAGGCCAAATCATATCAATGTCTATCGTATTCGGAAATATTTCCCTTATCATGACTAAATATATTAGTATGGATATATTAGTTGCTCCTCACTGGAATTATTATGTCCGAGTTTCTCATGAAAGTAGGGAACAATTAGAGTTTTGGCGAAACGAAATACTTAATTTAAGCGCTAGGGACATGTATATTAACCCCTCATACTCTAAAATACATGTAGTATATTCGGACTCAAGTAGTTACGCTTACGGTGGTTACGAAGTAACAACTATTCAAAGCGTTACTTACGGTACTCCCGAGGAAATGCTACTTTCCTCTACTTGGAGAGAATTAACCGTAGTTTTCAGGGTTTTAAAATCTATAGTACATTTGCTTAGAGGCAACCGTATTAAATGGTTTACAGACAATCAAGCAGTCAGTAAAATAATACCAAAAGGGTCGATGGTACGTGATTTACAGCAAGTTGCTGTTAGTATATACAGATTGTTTACAAAATTCGATTTCTACAGATGTAGAATGGATTCCGAGGTCTCAGAATCAGAAAAGCGATTACATATCAAAAATTATCGATTATGATGATTGGGGAATCAATTTCACTGTTTTAAATACTTTACAGTCAAAACGGGGACTATTAGATGTAGACTGGTTCGCCTCTAATCGTAACGCTAATTTGCCAGTATTTTGGTCACATTTTTGGAACGAAACTTGTTCAGGAGTCGATTCTTTTTCAGAAGAATGGTCAGGGAGATTTGGACTTTTTGTACCGCCAATATCTATTGTGATAAAGGTCCTACGTAAAATGAAACAAGAAACAGAGCACAAGGAATTCTTGTTGTTCCCAAATGGTTCTCAGCGCTTTTTGGCCTATTTTATGTCCCGATGGTAGATTTTGTAAAGAAGTAGTAGATTTTATTATCTTACCTCGCGAAAAGCAATATTACACAAAATGTTCGAACGGAAGGGTATTTTTGGCAATCAAGATTTATCTTTCGATATGCTTGCTCTAAAAATTGTTTTCTAGAGTAAACAAGCGCCTAACGTCACGCAGTTACTCAATATCACATTAAATCTAGACCTATGTGAGCATAAATAAGATTTTGAGATGATTAGATTTTTAACAGGCTTAGCAGCCATGAGAATAGTTTTTATACTAAGTAGCAAGGCATAAGAATATTTTGACGAAGCATAGCAGCCATGAGAATTGCTAACGGTTATACTTTAATGAGGCTTAGCAGACATGATAATAGCTTAATGAGGCTCTAAGCAGCTATGAGAATAGTTTAATTAGGCTTAGCAGCCATGATAATAGCTTATAATTAGGCTTAGCGGCCATGAGAATAGCTTAATGAGGCTTAGCAGCCATGAGAATAGCTTAATTAGGATTAGCAGCCATGAGAATAGCTTAATGTGGCTTAGCAGCCATGAGAATAGTTTAATGAGGCTTATAGCAGCCATTAATTTTAAGATTAATTAACTGTGAAATTGTTTCCTTTAAGGCTTAACATACACGACGTTAATTTTTATAAAGTTTAGCATTTTATTGTATTTATCTTACCGTGACATACATATGTTAAGAATATTTTTGTTCGTTTAGTTTTTTGATATTTTTTTTGTAATTAAGACGTTTATACGAGTATATAAATAGAGAGACACTTTCGTCTCTCGAATTATTGTTTTGGTATTTTAAAAACGGTTAATTTGCGTCACTTAAGCATAAGTTTCAGGAGATGTTTTCTAAATTTTATATATAATGAATTTTACACGCAATCAAGTTTTCATGTAATTTAAAAGTATGATTATACATTTATTTTTCCAGAGCCATCGTGACGAGATAGATAGCCTGCCGGAGATCCTGGTGGACAAAGTGACTCTACTGCCGGATATACTCCTCCAGTCTAGAGCTGACAGCACGCGCAAAAACTATACAAATGCTTTCAACAGATGGAGGGTTTGGGCTTTAGCTAACGGTCTTGGTAGTGGGGACATTTTGCCCGCAAGGGATGCTTTATATCTTACGTCATTGATACAAAGTGCTAATTCTTGTAGGCCTATAATAACGGCATTTTACAGCATTAAGTGGTTTCATGACATTAATAACTTTAGTTCTCCAACTAATTCTAAAATTGTTCTTAACATATTAGAGGCAGCTAAACGCATTTTAGCTAAACCTGTTAATAAAAAAGAACCGATTACAGTTGAATTATTACAGTCTATGTATCACAGTTTGTTCGAAGAAGGAAATGTTTTTACACAGAGAACTATTTGTGCATTACTTTTATCGTTCTCCGGTTTTTTAAGGAGTTCGGAACTGTTGAATTCACATTATAATGACGTTGTTTTACATAATACTCATATGGATATTTTCATAGAATCAAGCAAAACTGACCGTTATAGGGACGGTGCTTGGCTTGTTATAGCAAGAACTGGTACAGAGTTGTGCCCAGTTGAAAATTTGGAAAAATATTTTTCATGGGCTAATTTTTCAACTGATTCAAGTTCTTATATTTTCCGTGGTTTAAGTGCAACTTTAATAGGGCATAAACCTAAACTTGTTGATAAACACATTTCTTATTCTACTTTGAGAGATTTGTTTCATAAAGCTTTAGCTCCACATGTCAAAGATGTTTCTAAGTTCTGTTTACATTCCCTGCGCTCAGGCGGAGCTTCAGCCGCAGCTAACCGCGGCATTAAAGACCGAATGTTTAAAAGACACGGTCGTTGGTCTAGTGAAAACGCTAAAGACGGTTATATCAAAGACAATATGGAGGAAAGATTGTTAGTATCTCAAAGTTTAGGTTTATAATAGTATTAATGCTATTAGTTTATGTATATATTGTAAAATTGAATGTCGCAACGTTTAACTTGGCGCAATTAGTTTCTCTTCTTTGCCCCAGTTCTTTGAGGTCAGCCGGCATCCAAAGTCGCTTACAACAAATTAAAAAATTTGAACTGTTTATTTCGTTTTACTTTCATTTGTCACTTTGCAAACAGGTTTGCAATGATCTAGGGGGAAATATAATTTTCTGCGTTTGAACGCAGTGAATTAGAAGATAATTATTTCCCTCCTGTTTCGTTGTAATTGTTTGCAATAGGTGGCGCTGTTGCAGGCGCAACGAAGTTTCTCGGGTATAATTTGTACAACGTGTTCATTCAGCGCTTAGGACAGCCGACGATAATGAGTGAAGAAAATTCTAATTTTAATATCTAGCTAATTGTAAGATATGAAGTTGCGCCAAGTTAATAATATTTTTGTATTACATATGTTTATGTTGTTAATGCTGTTGGAAATGAAGAGGATAACGCTTGTCTTGTATTCTATAAATGTTTGTACTTTTAGTAAAAGTATTGTGAAACAGTCGGCATCCAAAGTCGCTTACAACAAATTAAACAATTTGAACTGTTATGTTCGTTTCTTTCATTTTGTCACTTTGCAAACAGTTTGCAATGATCTAGGGGGACTGTATGTACATGTTTGTTATAGTGTTTATAGATAATAAAAATGTCATGATTATCCAGAAAATAACGACGTTACAAACGTGCAGTATATTTTTAGTAAAATGCACGTGTATGATGTTTCTTCTTTTGACAATGGTTTGAATAGGAATACATATAATGTACAGTTGTTAGATATATCTTCATTGTACAAATATTAAAAGCCATTGAGCATTGACGTGTATTTTTAGCACCTTTAATTACAGGTCACGTGTACAGCTGTGGATAAGAATGAAACTGCCTGTGAGCTGACGTTAAGAAATGCTTCACGGTACAATCTACAACATAGAATACACGTGATTCACGGGGATATACGAGCAGGTATTGTTAAATTAATGAAGCCGAATATTACGTTTTTAAATATATCTCAGACAGTAACATTTTTAGCTCTACAATTCAAAGAATAAGGAGAGCTATCCTAGTCCCCGGTGCGTCGGAGTAACCACTTATTCACTTGTTATACAATGTATATACCCCATTACTATCAAGCATTGAGAATAGCCGAGCTTTTGTTTTGTTTCAGACAGTACTTTGTTTGAGTTATCACAAGATGGACCATATCACGTGATTGTGAGCAATCCACCATATATAACAGCAGACGAGATGGAAGATCTGGAATCGGAAGTAGCTGAGTCAGTTTCTTATTGTCTATTTCTGATTGATGCAACTAAATGATACCCGTTATAACAATAATGTAGAATAGCTTATTGTGATGTAAATACTAAATAAGATAAAATGTATTTTTAAATCATTTATTGTAGATTTCAGGTCCATCTTAAAGGAACTTCAATGAGGTCGAAAAGCATAAAAATATAAAATTTGAAATTCTTACATTATAAATTATATCAGCTGGGGCACTTAAAACACAAAGATATGAAAAAGAAAACAAAGAAATAAACTTGAAAATGACTTGAAAAAAATCGTATTATAATGCTATTCCTAGCTTGATTTGAGTGCATCACCTTTCAATTTAGGTCATCTTTTACAATTAGAGTAATTACTTTGGAAAAACGGAGTGACCGGATAGTCCGAAAATGACCACACAAGTTATAAGTCTAGACCTATGAAAAATTATTTCCTGTTCCACCATGTCAAAAAAAAGGTGGAGGCCCTTCAATGAAGGTCCAAAGTGAATGGTTATATTTTTTTACGTATTAAAGAAAAAGTCATTCGTTCTCAATACGTCTACCGATTTGGCTAGTATTATTTCCCTTGGTTATGAAGACACAAGCTTTCAAGAAAGAAGTTGTCTTCTTTCACACCGTTTTGATTTCTTACATATTATGTACTGATGAACCACACTTGTACATGTAGAAAACTGTTTCATTGATAAATGCATGCAAATTTATTTTCAGTTATGAAGATCATGACGCTTTGTATGGTGGAACTGATGGTCTAGATCTAGTAAGGAAAATTCTGACAGAATCTGGAAAGCTTCTGAAAGATAAACAAAGGTTTGCTTCTTTGTCCGTCAACAATAATATATATAGATACAGTTTTGAAACAAACACAAAATTTTCTTCAAATTTTCTACAATTTCATTAACTAAATAAATTAGTCATTTGATAGTACAATTACTAATACCAGTCGACTGTTTGTCTATGATAATGTGAGAATGACATTTCATTTTATAGCTACACAAAAATTCTACTGAAAAGGTAAAACATGACGTAAAAGAATCGAATGTTACAGTAGATTTGCATATATATTTTAAGACTAATGGACTTGTGTATAAATTAGAACCAGAAGATAAGATTATTTTAAAATCTGTCTTCTATCAAACGAAAATAAAGCATTTTCTCAGCATTTTTTTATTTTCTTACAGTTATGTTTGGTTAGAAGTAGGTCTTGGACATCCAGAGAAAATACGAAGAATTGTGGAACTGCAACCGAAGTTCATGTTGTCATATAAAGAAACTTTGAAGGATTTTACCGGAAGGTAATAGTTTTGTGCATGTACATCGATTTCTTATTCATTATGAAAAGTTATCTTGGGCGTCTGTGGCCAAATTATAAAAGTCGTTGATTTCAAATCACTTGCCCCTCACTGCTTTGGGTTCGAATCCTGCCATAGGTCTTGGATTTTTTTCATGTGAGGTAGCTATCCAGGAAGCTTGCGAAACGTCGGTGGTTCTACTCAATCGCCCGCTCGTTTCTTAAATAATACATAGATGGGGCCCCGGAGGTCCACCAGTAAAACTGGAATTTCGCCATAAAATCTTGCCTTTACAGTGCCGATGTGTAGTCCAACCAAGTAAATAAATGTTATAGATACATGAATGCAATTTTGCTTATAATGCTGCAAATCTTTGCAGTATTTAATGTAGTATATACATGATTACCGGGCAAATGTATTGTGCTCTAAATTATCTCAGAAATTAGCTGTGAAAAGATGAAAAAACTGTTGACAGGGAGGTCAGCCGTTGTCGGTAGACTGAAATGACTATAATGTTCATACATACTTGAATATTAAATTTGTGACATTCATTTTCATTTTCAGAGGCAGGTTTTGCAAGTTGCAGTTAAATACAATGTAAGTGAGAAAGGCACACATCAGATTAAGATATGGACGTTTACCTGTGATACATAGAAACACATAACAGTCGGGTTGGTCTGTGCATACTAGGGGAAAATGCGTATTTTTCTGTAGAGAAATACCCTTGATATAACCGCAGGACATGATATTTTGACCTGAATGGCATGACTAATATAACCTTAAAGTTTCCCTAGGATAAAGTGCCGGTTATCATGATACAGGACCAATTTTGAAACATTATCAGTTATCATAGTACGGTGTGGGTTATCACGATACAGTGTCGGTTATTACGATACATTGTCAGTTATCAGGATACAGTGTCAGTTATCAGGATACAGTGTCAGTTATCAGGATACAGTGTCAGTTATCATGATACAGTGTCAGTTATCAGGATACAGTGTCAGTTATCATGATACAGTGTCGGTTATTACGATACATTGTCAGTTATCAGGATACAGTGTCAGTTATCAGGATACAGTGTCAGTTATCATGATACAGTGTCAGTTATCATGATACAGTGTCAGTTATCATGATACAGTGTCGGTTATCACGTAACAGACAGTGTCAGTTATCACGATACAGTGTTGGTTATTACGATACATTGTCAGTTATCAGGATACAGTGTCAGTTATCATGATACAGTGTCGGTTATCACGATACAGTGTCGGTTATCACGATACAGTGTCAGTTATCACGATACAGTGTTGGTTATCATGATACAGTGTCAGTTATCACGATACAGTGTCAGTTATCACGATACAGTGTCGGTTATCACGATACAGTGTCGGTTATCACGATACAGTGTCGGTTATCATGATACAGTGTTGGTTATTACGATACAGTGTCAGTTATCATGATACATGTCAGTTATCAGGATACAGTGTCAGTTATCATGATACAGTGTCGGTTATCACGATACAGTGTCAGTTATCACGATACAGTGTTGGTTATTACGATACAGTGCCAATTATCATGATACAGTGTCAGTTATCATGATACAGTGTCGGTTATCACGATACAGTGTCAGTTATCACGATATACAGTGTCAGTTATCACGATACAGTGGCAGTTATCACGATACAGTGTCAGTTATCACGATACAGTGTCAGTTATAACAGTACGTTCGGCGTCAGGTATCACTATGTGGTGCTAATCATCATGAATCTGTACTTAATAGTGGATTCTTTATCTATTATTTAGTAATAAATAATTGATAAACACCGGAAGTATATGAAATATTTTAATTTATAAATAGCATTTCAAAATAGTATACAAAATAACTGTATATAGTATACAAACTATGTTTTTTAAATGAAATTGTGTATACAAAATGTATGTCATTTCTCCTCGCCCACGTAACATTTTAAATTCATCATTTTTCCAGTCATGTTATCAATACAGCTTAGCACTAAAATGTTCAAGAATAGCTCGGTAAAACATAGAAATAAAAGTTACAAAAGTAAATATGTTAAATCTTTCAGTTAAATTCTTTAGTTCGTGTGAAAATCCTTTCAAGATATGCATGTGGATGTTGTTGTTACTTCTAACACGTCATTAATGAACCTTTCTAACCTAAATGATGTTGAACCAAGCATATTTTGAGTTTTTCCTGATACAATGTTGACAGTTAGTTAATTATCAAGTTATCAAACAAACATTATTATATACAAAGATACATTTTCATTATTTATATATTATGTAGATCTCAAATAATATTCAAATATAAACATAGAAGATACAAGAATATTGGTCATACATAAAAAAACATAGCAATCCTTAGATCTTAAAACCAGGGTCATTGAAATAAATTTGAATAAATTAAAACAATCAGCTTGAACCATTTTTTAAATTACAAAACACATGTATCATAATTTTGTTTTGTTTTGAAACAGCTTTGTCTAGTGTTTCTGAAATCTAGCATATATAGTGGTCATCATTGATATACATATATATTTGTATATTACAGCGCAAGATAATGTATAAATAATTTTATATTAAATACAAAAATGTATGTGATTCTGTGGCTATCTTATTGTTAACTACCTGAAAAATGCCAAACTTTATTACAGTTTTATCACGCAGGAGTTGTTGGTGTTCAGTGTTATCATTACGCATTTGTCATATATCCATTTCAGTCGTATTTGTCATATAAAATGGCCAATGGAACGATGTTACCATGTCTCAGAATTCTCAGAATTGTTTGGCTTTAATATATTGTGATGCAAATAACCTCATTTCCTCAGTTACACTTCATACAGACTTATATTAAACTTATCTCATATTATGCTCGCCACAGACTCGTTTCTTAAACCTTTACTAGACTTCATAAATATAAGTCTATATGTAATGTCACGCATGTAAGATATGGATAATATTAAACGTTATGATTGTCCAATTAAAATCAACGTTACAAACGCGCACTTTTATAAGTATATACATTACAGTAACATATTTATACGATAAACATAATACATGTATAACATACGAACGGTTAAAATCATAAGACTAGAATATACACACTAACTAACATGCATTAATAAATTAGCACCGTTACAATATGGCGGGAAATCTCTTCATATACACACGTGCTACAAGTTCCGTTTAAGATTCATTATTGTTGAACAAATATTATGTTTTCTCGGTGTCAAACAACAAAGCACTTTTTCCATATTTTACAACGAAAACATTTGTCGTCTGGAAGCGATCACGTGACGATGGTCTCTAGCGAGAACGAGGCTTTGGTCTCTGGCAACAACTACGGATGGAATTCTGTTTGAAGGTGCGATGACTTCTCGATAAGGTGGTGGTCTTATGATATACCCATTGATAGCTGCGCGAGAACCCGTGTGGTCTGCTCGTAAAATCTGAGCACTTGTTTGCGGGGAAGAGTTCAAATATGCCCCGGACGCTAACTGGCGCGTATTTATATGTCTGTGTTCATTATGGTTATTTATAGTTTGCTGAAAATTCTCAGTTCTGACTGATCGGTTTCCTGTATTTGTCCCATCAGGAGGTCTTTCTGCAATAGTTCTATTTAGCACGGGTGTATCGGTAACTGGTGAATCCGAGCCTGGAACCAGGTCGACCGTGTCACGTGTCTGTGGTGATGAATTTCCGTTTCTCCCAGCATCCACTCGTATTCGAAACACATTACTGTCAACATTCTCCGGAACATGTTCCCTGCAAAATAACAAAAATCATTGTTTATGTATGCAAACATTTGTTTAAAAATTTAATTGTTAAAGAGTTAAAGATAGATTTATTTCACTATAACATGTATGACAAACACGGCAAAATATTAAATCATGTTGATCAAACAATGTATACAATACTAAGATTGATATAAAATGATAAAAAAAAATAACGGGAAAACAAAATGATGCTATTTATAGAAATTATCTTTGACTTTTAACTACAAGACTACGCCTAGAAGTAGTGTATCTTATACTGTCCTGGAAAACATAACCAGACACAGATAGAAATGAGTTTTTCGTAAATTGTGTACTGCATTCATGAACTGAGCTAACGGGCATGGAAATTTTTTGTAAGATATTTAGATGAAAGTCAGAATGGGGTTACACGACTTACCGGAATCGGCCGAATTACCGGAATCGACCGGAATCGGCATTTTGTTAACATGACATATAATTTGGTTGACTCGACCAAAAAGGCATTTACTTTTAACTTGATAAATAATTTTTTTTACACAATGTAACCAAGGGTGCAATATCAAGACCAATTTAGAATGACCTGTAACTTGTGTCGTAAGTATTTGTCAGACCATTTTACCAGGCAGATGATGCATAATCAAAATGACACTGCATGTCTCGTTATAACTAAATTATAATTATAACTAAATTTTGGCTGAAATATAGAACCAGCATGATAGACTGCTAATTCTATGAATCTAAACAACCAAAGCACGAACAAACCATTTGAGACACTCGCAACTCTTGAGTAGCAACAAGTTTTTGGTAACATCAACATATAAGTGTTGTTTTTGATTTAATGAAATGTAATTTGATATATATTATTAATGTAAACAATGTAATTAACTTACAGATAATCGAAATGCTCGAATGGATACTTCTTCTTCGCCAGGATGATTCGTCCTAGTAGTGATAGTAAGGAAATGAGCAGTACCCCACCCACACACCATACAATGATGGTCAACGTCTCTACTCCACCCTCCTCCAGTATAACCACCTCCGTCGTGTTACCTATAACTTTAATAGTAGGAACAGCGCTCACTGAAAATAAAATAAAAATCACAAATTTAATTATATTTACTTTCCCTTTTTTAATATCTTGTTAAGTCATTTTGAACGTCAAAAATTTAATATCTTGTTAAGTCATTTTGAAAGTCAAGTATTTTTTCACTAATTGGATGTTTCCTTCTACATTAACCATTTTAAAATAATTTGATATATTGCTGAAGTCCTTCACACTTTTTGTTTCTTTTCCGCATTACATTCCGTGCTGTGTCACCTTAATTGTTAGCAAACTTTATATAAATTTGAAATCTATCGGTATTAGTTTCAAATATATCGGTAATAGTATCATATCTATCTACAATAACATTAAAGCTATCTGTAATTGATACAAATCTATCTGTTATAGTAACAAATCTATATGTAATCAATACAAATCTATCTGTAATATTACCACATCTATCTGTAATATTATCAAATCTGTTGTAATTGTTTCAAATCTATTTGTGATAACGTGGGTGAAACCTTGCGTCGGTTAATTTACATATTATACGAAAATATATATTTCGGCTGCAATTTACACATGTTAAAAAAATTATGATAAATTTTGCCTTACAGTAAATATCTGACATAATATTTGATTAGTTTTCTCAGTATGCTAGTATATAATCTTTTAAGGATTCAAAGATGTCTGAACATTTATATACCAATACAAACATGTTTCACGGGAGAGTTTGATCGGTTAGTGACAGATGTTCTCGTGTCGTTAGTACTAAACCGGCAGATCATTGGCCGTCGTAACGCAGCAGTTTATTTTTCGGCGATGGTCAATGAACGAGCTTTAACTTCCCGCAATGCATTTGTATTGTTGCAACTTAAATTACATATATTATGTACTTTATGTACGGTGCCGGATGGTATTTATATGGTCAAAAAAGAGATTCTCTATATACGTATACCTATATTTAATATCCATTATATTTTTATTTGGTCAGTATTTGTTGACGGAGGTCGGTGATTTCGTTTAACCAGAGCATTGTTTTTTTTCTATGAATACAACACTGTTACAGTATGGCCGTTCCTTGCGGTCGTCAATTTAAGTGCATACTTTGTTCTGTTCTGTTAATATCATTGCAGAATATCATATATTTACTGAAAGGTTTGTAATGTATGTGTTTTTTTCTGAATAAAGTGTATGTCATGCTCTGTAATATTTACGTCAAATTAATTGATCGGGTACACTGCACAAAATTAATTGGTCATATAATTTGGGTAATATCATAATCGCAACTTTTCGGCCATTTCCGTCAATCTTCGGATAATTAATGATAAATGATTATGGGTAATCGACGGGGTTTTCCGAATGATCATATCTATTCTGTTGTAGAAATTGTAACAGCATAATCTATTAGTTTAAACATATTTTATTTCTCAGAATATATATACATGTTACAATTTACAATATACAGAGAGCAATTAAAATATTCTAAAAAAATCGATTATCTAGAATGAAAGACAACGTGTCTTATAAAATTTCCTCCTAATAATCTATTAAGTATTAAGTCTTTTTATTGTACTTGTAATTGTTTGTTACATATGTTTTGATAAGTTCTTGTTGTTTTATATTCATATGAAATTGTGTTTTTAATGAATAGAATAATTGAATTGAATAGAAGATAAAACATGGACATATCATACCAGGAAACAAAGTTTGAGTTAGGGTCAAATTCTTGCAGGATATTTACATCAATAAGTGAAACAGAAAATTAGATGATACATTTTGAGTCAATTTAACATTTCCGAATCAAATAAATACAAATTACCATGTTGTAATGTGCCTTAGAACATTGACCTCTCAATATATAATTAGTTTAAACTTTGATGTAAAGATTTTTATGTAAATTTAACAACACTTTATGCAATTGAGAGAAGTAAATAAGGCACGGGTAATAGGGACACATTATATATGAAAGCACCTGTGGTGATTTGAGGTCATTCCACCTAACCACAACGCCCGCGGACCAATTACTGAGGTCTTAATAAATATGGGTATTTAACTTTGATTTTAGGGTATAAATGATTATTTCGATTTATTGAATGTAATAAAAGACGGTGTAGGCGAAATGGCGGTATTGTCCAGTTTTTGTTGAATGTTGTACGTTATTTGAAGCGAGTTTTGTTTGTTTGTTTCATTCGAGTCGTACTAGAAGGTAAAGGGAGTAGGTGTTTAAATAGTGCATTTTAAAGCAAATGATGATTATATGTTAGATTCTTACACCTGTTTTGATCTGGTTTTTTTTCCTACATTTGCATAATATGTTATATAGATGACAACAACAACAACAACCAACCAACCATCCAACCAACCAATCAATCAACAAAAAACCCACACCAACTTCAGCCTTTAAGAATAATATAGGCAAAATTATGACATGTACTTATTTCGTAGTTAAATTTGGGGAAAAAACATAGTTGATTTACAGTATTTGTATGTTTCTGAATCAATTAAATTATAAAGTAGTTGCATAGTATTATAGGGAACGTTTTTATTCTGTTTTCGTAATGATAACCGATGGTCAAGTACAATTCATATATGCTTTAAATATTCACTGATATTATCAGATATAAGAATAAAATTAAGAAAGCTATGAGACCGTGCTTTTTTTTGGAAATTTTATGACACCAATTGTTGCGTACACTACGATACTTTCAGATAAAATAGAAGACTTTTTTTTTCTGCAAAATACTGGTAAAAAGAGTCCTATTAATAGTAAAAAGGTAAACAAAGGATTAATCATGAGACAGTAATGAAATAAGTTGAATAAAAATATCAAATACTTGTCTGCAATGTCGTCAGGATGGTACAGTTACGTTGCGTAATTAACTGCCCATAAAAATAATAATGACGTGCAATTCTTCATTTCTCAATGACACTGAGCCACGGGCAATAGGCAAAACATACAAAACTTTATACATATTTAATACCCGTTCAAAATTCCTCGAAGTCATAAGTTAAATTAATGACCTTTGACTTGTTAATTTATTACCTGTCATAATATAAAATCATTTTTCAATCAGGCTCGCGTCGACAAGATGACGTAAGACTATCACAGGCGTAAGTATTTATAAAATGTATTACTAAGCCGAGCGTAATGCTTACGGGGGAAAGCTGAACAGTTATTAAATATGAAATTGGAAAACGATGTTTTCTAAAAAAAATACAAGTACAGCAAAAATAATAATATCAAATCATTATATACAGTCATGTTCATCACCATTACGAGGTCACTTAACCATGCCCAATTAAACTATTACATGAAAATATACAGTGGCTTGGTTTCAGTTCTTTTATGTTTTTGTAGTAATTAAAAAAAGGTTATTAAACAAATGTTTATTTTTATTTTTTATATTCATCATAGCGGCACAAAAACTCCTATTTTTAATTTCGATAGTGGTATGGGGGATCATTTTTGCAATGTCAGCAAAATTTTATTGATATTATATTTACGTAATAAGTGCTCTTGCGAAAAATAGCGTTCCTTCTTTACGTAGCTAATATTATGTTTTCATTTTGTTTCATAAATAAAACATGATAATGAGATCTTAGATACGGCGAGATCTTATTAGTTAGAGTAAAATATTAACATAGTTTTTTATTAGCCTTGAGCACACACCGAGCGTTAGTGGTATATGGTTAGACACGTTGATTATCTTAAATTTCATAACGGGAAAAAAAACATGTAAATTAATGAAGGAAATTATTAGATACACATTTATTAGTCCCCTAAGGGCTCTCGTAATACGACGTAAGAAGAAAAAACGAGCGTCGCCGCTAGGGACACTGAATCGCTGACAATTCATTAAGTTTCCAGTTAATAAAGTAACATTTTGGCCTTAAGTTCATGAGACGAGGATAAACTAGAATAAAAAAGAAACACGAAAAGAAGATGTTCATTTTGTTCATCAGGTCCCGTTAAGGCTCAACCAGGCTTTAATTATTACTAGATTTCGTTGTAAATTATGTTAGCTAGGGTGTTGAGTTTTCCTTGTACATCTGTTTGACTCCCCCAATTACATACCTTTAATGACAATTGCGACGTCCATGCCTGGTACTACATTTTGTAACACATTAACCAGAATGTATCAATGCGCTTATAATGAATATTATTTGCTTATTACAAAATATAATATGCATTAGATTACATATATAATAATTTTAATGTTAATATTTTAAACTCTTAGTCCGCTGGTGACGTCATATTCTGCATATGCTTCCGGTGCAGACGACACACTCATGTCGTCTGATCATGGTCTGCACTGTTCGCTATTCAGTCTATATGTATTTTTTTTTTATTTTTCCCTAAAGACGATTAATGTCCAGATTGAAAGATGGACAAGTCCATTTAAGATATTTAACATGGTCAGGGTTAAGTCGATTCTAAACATGATTGTCGTCTGTTACAAATAATTATGTAATTAAAAATATTCATTTACTAACATTATTTTTTTCATACGAATCATTTACGATAATTACATATAAAAATATACGATAACCGCAAAAGGAATACTTACTCTAGAATAATAAATTCCTATCGAAAGTGCAAACATAAATGGATAGTTCTAAACTCGTTGAGCTTTAACGACATGTGTTATAGTGAACTTTCAATTTTATTGTTCCATAAAACAGAATATACATCTATATAAATATATCTCACTCGTATTGTTACATATCAAATAACTCCTATATAGAGACCATGTGTTGTTTATCGATTCATTCCCTCCATTTTTAGTGACAAAACCTCATGTTAGGTTACCTAGGAAACTAAAATCCGCATGTATACAGTGTATTGGTAAATATGACATTCGAGCTAAGAATCTATCATATCTTATAAAGAAATGAGTGAATGAGCGGAGCATATTTGTAATCTGATTATTGACGGCAAAGTGCGACATGTTGCTAGATGTGGATTTGAATTCTTACTTACGGAACTACTAGTAGTAACTGCGAGTAACTTGATCCCTCCGAGCAAGCTGCGAATTATTTATGTTCTGAAAGTCATGGTTACATATTTTGGCATTTCCATTTATATGAAATCAAAAATAGCGTTCTTCTTTCTCGCTATAGTCTTAATAGTTATTAATGTACTGATTTACTTCTTGTCCTAATAGTGATGCCGTAGACATAATTCAGCCATATATGTTTTAATAATCCATTTGTAAATTCTTTTCTAATAAGTTTGATTCGATGTGTATTATATTTAAAGCAGTGTAAATGATGGTCGTGGCAGGTTTTTATTTAGTAAGAAAACCAAAGACTCTGTGATTTTGATTGACGATCTTTTTATAATTATAAGATAATCCAGATCTAAAAGCAGATATGTAACAAAAAAAATAAAAGAGGGTAATTTGGTTGTTTGAATTACTTTAATTTCGTCTGTACTTTATGCAAATTATTTATCTATTTATCTGAGAAAATAAAAACAAAAACGTGCGCTTAGGTCCCCCCACTATGCTGAGCGATGGACAAATTATATACAGTCTAGTTTTGTTGAAATCGACTTCAAATCTCATTTGAACCAACTTACGAGCCTTAAAGGACATTTGCATTTTTGTGTCTATTTTTTAAAACATCTGTTGTATTTTATTTACATTTTATAAGAAATAAAAAAATGATAAGAAAGCATGTCATGTCCGAAATCAACTTAAAATTGTATCTTTTTGTGCGTAAGGTCACAATAACTAAGTACAAATTTGTTGACATATGTTTAAATGAATTTTATATTGTTTGATATATAAAACATTGTATTTATTTTAGCGAAGTTGTAAAGTATTAAACGCTCGTTTGATGTGAGAGAAGGAGAGAGAAGGATATATTTACAATAGTATCCTGTCATATTGACATATTGTAAAACTTGTCCCGATAAAATGATATTAAAGAACAAAGAAAACTGTACAAAAAAATCTTCGCATCAAAATACTATATATAACTGGTAAAACACAAAAAAGCAAAAATAGTGTTTTTACGGGATTTCTCTTTTTTCATATTTGTAAGATAAGTTTTTGTTAAAAAGTTTATTTTGCTCAATATAAACGGTACAAGTCAGCCCGGCCCCAAGTCAACCCGGCCCCAAGTCAGCCCGTCCCCAAATTGGTCAACCCGGCCCCAAACCAATGTTATTTCTGGTCAACCCGGCTCCATTATTTTATTATTTATTTTGCTTAAAAATATAAACACTTATATTTTACAAAGTAATTATTATTTATTACTTTTTCTTGATACGATGTTTTATAATAATAAAATGATTTTACATGCAAAATATCGTTAAATTTTGTCCATAAATAAAAAAGTTATAAGTTATATTCGAATTACGTTCTATAAAAGTCATATCCGTAGCGAACAGAAGATACCGAATATGACTTATATTTTATAAATTGATTATTTTTTTTATTAACTTTTCTTGATTAATAATAAAATGATTTTACATGCAATATATCGTTAAATTTGGTTTATAAATAAAAAAATAAGTAATGTAGGTGAGGAACACACGTTCAATACCAGGTCAAGTTTTAAAAGTTTTTATTGGCTACTAGTTTCGAGTAATACAATACTCTTCATCAGGCTTAAATAAAAAAGTTATAAGTTATATTTGTTTTTTTTTATATATATATATATATAAAATCAAGAAGATATCAAAGATATCAAATATCATTATATGACTTATATTTTATAAAGTAAGTGGGTTTTTTTGTCTGGATTACAGTGAAATAACATGCAAATAATCGTTAAATTTGGTACAATTAATAATAAATCATTTTTATTCCATCATACAACAAGATGACTTAAATAATTTTCTTTGAAAATATATATTTTTTGGCCGGAATAACCGATTTTGGGGCCGGATTGACCAATTTTGGGGCCGGGTTGACCAATTTTGAGGCCGGGTTGACTTGGGGCCGGGTTAACTTGGGGCCGGGTTGACTGTAATTCAATATAAATACAGTCATCATCTAACTATTAATACTGCGACCCCCCCCCCCCCTCCCCCTCCACAACACCAGTTAACATTTTGTAGAATGTCAAATATTTACCCTTTAGAATCAATTTCTACTAAATGATAATGATAGAAATGATAGAAAAGAAAAGAAAAATTCAAGCATCATAGAACATACGTGTAGAATAGAATGATAACTTTTGATAATTATAGAATTTGACATTTTAAAATGTTTTCAAATTTTAACATGTTTAGATGTTGGAACCAACAGTGCGATATTCCTCGAGACATTTTCATCATATTAAGATTGTCGTCTGCTACGTTTTCTAAGAGATATCGTCGTGACGTTGACAATGTTTACAAACACGTGAGATTAGTTGAACATAACAGAACTGAAACAATTTCGAGATGTGATAGTATTGTATTAAATGATACAACTTTTGTTGAAACAATCCGAAAGTCAAATATACTTTGATAGATAACATAGATAAGACAGATTGCGAGCATTACCGGGGTCATCCGGTGCACAAAATTTCTAAAATGACTAATTTATCTGCGGATGAATACCATTTGCATGTTAAAAAGTTGAATTCTGCTGAAAACGGTGCTAGGGGGCGTGGATCGTAACATGCACTTTTCATTGCCGTCCATGAAGAGATTCAATTAAATCGATCTGATCTTGTAACATTTTTAATTTTGCGGTGTTGGACGTTCTTTAAGGATTCTAGCTGTTTTTTACTCTATTTTATTCATTAAGGAGATTTTCTGACCGGCATTTTATTTTCAGTAATTTCCAAAACTGTCTTTGAAACAATATACAAGAAAAGGAACTGGCTCAAATCTGAAATTCCCTCGAGCATAAACGGGCGTTTATAATCGTCAAAATTTCATTATTTTATTTTTTTTTAATCCGACACCCACACTTACAGGTCTTTTCGTTTTGAAATCCAGATATATCACTTTTGTTTATACATCAACGCAATATTTAAAATCAATCTTCGATTTAATTAATCTGATGCAATTTTAAGTAAGTTATTATATTCATCAATAAATATAATATATACGACTTTTGTTCGCTTCTAAATTAAAAAAAAAAGAAAGAAATGTATGAAAGTTCAATAAATGTCTCATATTAAATGTAATACTCTGCAACAAGAGTCAACGCAGTTAATTCGCAATATGTCGTTTGTGTCGATGAAAATATCAACAATTATTATATAAAATAAAACAAAATCACCAACGTATATAAGTTTATAATTTTATATACATGTTTTCTAATTAATTTGCATTTCTCACAATAATTCAAGGATTCTGGCTATGATATTTTATAAACATATATTTATTTATACAATACCTGTCGCAGATATATCCATATTCCACTTCTAACTCCACTTAATTATTCTTTACCGTTATTTCTTACTTCCGTGTTGGGAAGATGCGGAAATGTTTAAAAAAATGTTACAGACGACACTACAACATGTCGCTCAAACGCTTGTTAAATTTCAAATGAGTAAAGTTGCAAGCGCTTGAAGTATATAGATGTTTAAGCGCGTGGTCAAATTAAGAGGAGATAGCCGCAGGTTATTGTTTATGTTTATTGTGTCGTACTATCTAATAAAGCCAATTATTAAACATATTAGAAGCGCACTGCCTTCTTATGTACTGTAATTAGTTTTTCACACTTTAAATTGAGTAGATACTTAATAAAAAAGAAACAAAATTTAAGATGTGCGAAAATTCTACTATAAAAATAAACGCCGGCCTCTTTTGTATGACTTTGATATTTTAAGATTTGCAGTTAAAGCACGACACCTGCTGGGCAGTCGTTTCCACGGTCACTGATGAAACCGTATGTCATTTCCACGGTCACGAATGAAATTTCAACTTTAAACGTCGGCCTATTGTGTATTTCTTTGATATTTTAAGTGAAACCGCCACTCAGCGGGGTGCCATTTCCACGGTAGATTCAGCGGGAAGTCATTTCCATGGTCACGAATGAAGCCGAGATTCCGCGGGAGAGCCGGCAACTATAAGTATATATCAATTCAAGCACACTCGCAAATGACTGCACCTACGAATCAGGGACATGACTTGTGCCACCAGGACATTTGCATCATTGGACATGCTTACTGTATGTCAAATGCTGTCATAGGCCAGGTATATATATACGTACCTGCTTAGGCTTGTGTTTCAACAGTCAAAAGTGCGGGGCTATCTGTTACTTTTAGCACATGAAGGATGACTTTTATCAGCATGAAATATCATGTGGTAATATTGTAATCTTAGCATAAATTCGATCATCCGTGTCTTGTTTTTTTTTAGGTTTTGAGTGTAATTTAATAACTAGGGAAATTCTGGCTGTATAGGAAGTAAGAATACATAATTATGTAGACAACAAATTATCATTGCGAATAGTTTTGTAAAAGCAGGCCTGTTGGAACTATTTGCAAATGCGTATAATGAGCTTAGGTTTCGGCAGGATGCCTGGCACGTAACGACAAACAGATGATCTCGCAAAAAAAGAAGAAGCAACACACGAATAACATGGTTTAGAGATAAATCGCTAGGTACAAAAAGCAATAAAAAAAAATACATTGATAATAAAATAAATGCATTATTATTTAGACAACAATTAATTACTTCTATTAGACTTTAATATCGTTCGTTTTAATTGAATGAATTTATTCACTGATCCTTGAACAAAATAATTATTTTATGTCCAAGAGTTATAAAAGTAAAGCTTTATGATTACATAAATAGATAATAGAAACGAATCTTTGCATATGAAATAGAAATATGGTAAGGAACAAATAAAAAAAAAGTCTTACAGTATCTGTCAAACATTCCAACTTATCACAGAAACTATTGTAAACATTTTAAGAATGTTATTTTAATCATTTAACTAATATAAAATATCGGCGGTAAAGTCAGTCCAATATACATGATAAAATCTAAGGTCGGAGTACTATTGTAACACTTTTTGGCACATCATTCTGATCAAAGATATTTATTAACAGTTAATTAGGTATCGCTGATTAATTCGTTCAGTTATCTTTGTTCAATAAAATGTAACACTATTGTTTCCCAAATCTTTTTTTATAAAAAAGTTTATATAAATTGTTTAAGTTAGTTTATGAAATAGATATACGTGTCACGGAGAAATGCACATCAATGTAATTTTTTTGCTCTGGTCAGCAAACACATTATAGAGAGATAACAGAAAGTAATATGTCTGTTTGTTTGTCTGTCTGTCTGTGTGTGTATGTATCGATGCGTGCATGCCTGCCAGCCTGTGCGTGCGTACGCACGCACGACGCACGTACGTACGTTTGTATTCTAGGCTTAATGAGGGTCCATTCGCTGTGAGTACGGTCGATGACCCCCGGACGTGTCACCATTCATGTCCTTAAAGGTGATTATCTACCAAAAGTTTACCTATAAATTCTGAATTCAGTAATTCACTGAATGATGCAATAAATATGATAAACAAGAGCAACAAGGAAAGGCGGCGTTCAATGAACGCAATCCCCACACGACCCAGCAACAAGAACCAGCGACAAGGAGCCCAGGAGGACCCCAAACAAAAATGAGACAGGGTGTAAGAGTGCACGGACAGGCTTATTACTAAAATGTTACATAAGAAATAATAGTCACCGACAAAGAAATCAAAATAAAAGAAAATAAATAAATAATTGATTAATAGGCCCACTAAGCAAAAGGGTACGGTGAAGGGGGAAATGAAATTCTGGGGCGAAATAAAGAAACAAAACTAGGACCAAAAGGGAAGCTACTTACCGTCGATGAGAACCAAAAGTGTCACCAAAACAGTAAAAACAACAAGACATGCATCTGAGGAACACGGATTTTTTTCCACTTTTATATAAGAACCCAACATTATCATTCCTGTTGTCAGTACTGGTTGGGGACCACCAAAACCGGACAACCACCAAACCCGAACGACCCCGAAAATGCTTAATTTAGTATTTTCTTTGTTCAGTGGTTGTCAGTCACTTTTTCATCAACAATAAATGCATGTTTCTTCTAAAATTAAGTAAATAAATTTATTTCAACCTCCGTAAATGGTAATATTTTAATGTCTATATCAAGAATGTTGACGTAAAAATTTGGGGGGGGGGGGGGGGGGGGGTCAAGAAAGCAATGCCAGACCTCATATACCAGCTATAATCATTTGCAGAGTAAACAATAGAATATCCAAAACTTTAGCATTTGTTGCTGAAATATTGTATATCATGTTAAAAATCAAAACACACAAGCTTTTATGTGAATTAAATCACGCCATGTACATATCTGTCCATACATATGGTACTGTATTGTAGACAATTTAGGTAATTTGATACCCTCCTTGTCGAGCCTCAGATGTAAGTGTCAATACAATCAGAAATAAACAAACTAGTTTGTTAGTTAGGAGAAGGACCTAGCTGAACTGTCAAATTTTTTTTTATTTCTAGGTTAAAAATTATGAAATCTGTACGGAAAAATGTTAAAAAAGTGTCCGGTTGATAGTCCCCGACCAGTATTGAAAACCACTGTAGCAGTCTTAAATAATTATGTACTGCAAATATTTTGTACATATTACATTTAATCATTAAAAGATATGCATTCACTCCTTATTGAAAAATTTGACTTAGACTTTATAGAAATTAAATTTTTATTACCTTATTATGCTTTTTGGAACTTACAAAATTGACAAATCTTAATTTAAGCATCATAAAAAACCAAAAAAAAAAAAAAAAAAAAAAAATGTGTTAAAGGATCTTAAAAATGTGCCTGACATCAGGAAGTCAAAATACAGGTATCTTATTATTTTTTCTTATTATTTGTTCACTACTACCGTTACAGTTCCCTGTGTCATATCTGTAACTTTATCAGTTTAATGTAACAAAAAACCAACTAAATTGTAGGACCGATATTTAAACTTCATCATTTTTATGCTCCCGGAGGGAGACATATTAAAATCGCACCGTCTGTCTGTCTGTCCGTCTGTGCGTCCCCACTTCGTTCGTGTCCGGACTGTAACTTGTTTTACATTGAGGGATTTTGAAATAGCTTTGCACAAATGTCTACCACGTCAAGACGATATGTCGCGTCCAAGAACCACGTCCTTACCTCAAAGGTAAAGGTCACACTTACATCTCGAAGTTTCACATTATCACAATAAGAGTTTATAGGTACACACATTAGTGTCCGGACTGTAATTTTGTCATGCATCGAAGGATTTATATATAATTTGGCATAAATATCTATCACATCAAGACGATGTGTCGCATCCAAGAATTACGCCCCTGCCTCAAAGGTCAATGTCACACTACCATTTTGAAGTTCACTCTTTCACAAAAAGGTACGCACAATCGTGTCCGGGCTGTAACTTTATCATGCTTCAAAGGATTTTACTATAACTTGGCTTAAATGTCTACCACATCAAGACGATGTGTCGCGTCCAAGAATCACGTCCCTACCTCAAAGGTCAAGGACACACTAACATTTTGAAGTTTCACTTTATCACAATAAGAGTTTAAAGGTATACACATTTGTGTCCGGACTGTAACTTTGTCATGCATCGAAGGATTTATGAATAATTTGGCATAATTATTATTTATGCCAAATTATTCATAAATACTTCGATGCATGACAAAAATAATATTAATGAGGGCTTTGCTTTCCCAGAAATAATGTCATAAAGAGAAAAAAAGACATATTTATAAGACATACCCCTGCCGTTTGTAACTTATTTTTCACTATTACTATTTAAGCAAAATGAGGTGTTTTTTTTCTTTTACGAAATCTTAGAAGACAGAAAATAATTTAGAGTATGCGAGGTGCAGTTATAAACTATATACACTTGCCCTTACCTAATTATAATTAATTAACATATTTTGAAATTTACATAAAATATTGTCTTCTCAAAATAATAAAGCTCCTTTACCCCCCCCCCCCCCCCCGAATATTAATATCATTTTTTTTGTAATTCCATTGCGTGTCGGCTACTTCTTAATATCATCTTTCAATTTAGGTCATTAATTTCCTGTGTCACCTTTAAAGTAAGTCAATATATTCTCCTAGAAAGTATAATGTTACACCGGTAAAGAATTTGGAAAATCAGGAAGTTGTAAAAAAGAGTATTCCCCTTCTCGTAAGATGAGAATATCGTACGATTTAGTACTTTACTAACATACTAAGGTTCTTTCAGCGTGTTTACTTCAATAAAATTATTTTTACTTTTTTAGATTTTTTTTTTAGATTTCGATTACTTATTACAATATAAATTGATATTAATAGAGCTTGAAAATTTCCTAGTGACGAACAGACGGACCAAATAAGGCTAATATTCTCTCAATAACAAGTTTACAATATAACGTTATAGTCTGATTTTATTAACCTGTCAATTATGAAAACATTATAGCACTCATTTAAATATAGCTAATAGCTTTGACATGATTGACACGATTGCGCATGTCATTTCATATCATAGATTATCTGTAGAATCTG